AACCTTATTATTGCGTATGTAGCTCCTGGTGCCATCCTCCAGATAAATAGATCAGTGATGCCGTCAATCTACTGGCCACACAAAACAGTCACTCGTTGAGGATTCAATGGCATTTCCATGGCTAATTTCGGTTGTTTAGTTTGCCAGCTAGACGAACTTCAGCCCATTAAGCGAAGCGGAATCTCATTAGATGGATATGAGGCTTAAGTTCTATAACCAATTGAAGTTCACAGGCTTACATACCGAGGTCTTTATGCAAATAGGTGCGCTAAATATTTAATCCCTGCTATATTTATGGTTTTGCGTTATCTGGGTGAAAGGGTTTCCTCTGAACGCACTAGGCAAGCACGTATGCCAGTTCTTGTCTCAGGTAACACCCTAGTTTTACAAACTCCATGGAAAAATTGATCCACAAAATGTTGTTATAAAGCGAACATTTGCCAACTCGAGAGTGACATTAAAGATGTCGAAAAGCTCAATCAATTCGAAATTCAAAAGGCCCCCCCTTTTATCTGCACATGATCCATATAGAATTATACTCAAATCATACCAACTTTCCTCGAGCTGTCACTGTTTCATTTTTCATTTCACAGAAAGGAAAGTTCGTTTGAGTACACCAAAGTTCAAGCAGACTTTTAGTAGAAGTCTGCTAGCTTTAACTGTACCAAAAAATTTGAATACTTTAATATACAAAGATTTAAACATGCATTAAATTCTGAATTCCCTTTGTTATTGTTAATTATTTTTATTGTTGTTATTATTTTTTTTTTTTTTTTTTTGATATGCAACTATTTGATAAAACATTACATGCTGTGCGGCCAATTTACCATTACCATATCGGTATACATATTTAGGTATATACGAGTGTGTATGTGGGCGAATGCGTTATCAACTTGAGAATTCAGTGTATGTATGTGTATTAAACTCGGTTTAATAAATACCCAAACATTGTTATTCCATTAAGAATAGGGTGTTGCCTTTATACATATGTACATATATACATGTGTACGTGGCTAAGAAAGGTTTTTTTCCTTTCAATTAAGGCAATTAATAGAGTATTTTTAATATCAGAAAAACTGTTGTCTAAACAGCCAGCGCACAATCACGCGTTTAATTTGTTTAGATTTGTGGTATTTCTAGTTTTTGTGGACGAAAGTGATGTCGATAATGAGCCACCTTAATGGACATATGACTAAATATATTTACAACACTATACAGGCGCCTGCCTATGCATGCATAGAAAACATATATGTATGTGCATATTTAGGTATGTCTTGCTCTTGGTGTTTACTTGCCAATTCACCGCTAGACTGCCACTCATGAATGTTGCCAATCAAAGCGTCCGAACAGTTGGAATCTTATCCACTTTGCGCTTGTTAGTTAAATTATCCAAATTACTCTCAAGAGAATGGCTTTGATTGTGCCATTAAATTGTGATAATCTCTTTGACTTCATGGAATAAAACAAGGAACCGGTGGGTTGTTTTCTGATTGGTTATTTAATAAATAAAAAAAAAATTCTGAAAAATCTTTTTGGTGGAAAAATTCATCGATATAAGTGTTTAATAAGTCTCTCTTTAGGTAAGAAAAATATGCATTCGCTCACAGAAAACGGGAGAAAAACTGATTGATTTAGCAATCTAAAAATTCAAATAGTCAATCAGGTGGCACCAATTTGAAAAAAATCTTGTGGCGTAGGTGAAGAAATATGTTGTGGGGAAGGGAAAAATATTAACAAATGAATAAATTCAAGGGAGAAGCTCGGGCTGAGCTCCATGTGCAAAATGTGGAGATGATGCGCGATAGCCATTTTGCTTTGGGAATTTATTGGATGAAGCTCGTGGAAAAAAATTGGAAGACTTTAGAAAATATTTTTTGAAAAATTGGAAGTGGTGGTGAATTTTCCGGTGGTTGGAGATGGTACAGAATTTCCTTTCCATTGTTGCCCGGGGGGATTCATTGAGCAGCTTGTCTCTTAAAAATTTTTGAAATGAGAGAGAGCTTCGAGTGGTTTCGTAAGCATAGCTGCGACCACTTGGAAATTGACTTGTTTCAGCTGTTCCTGATGCGGGTGAACATCTAAGCATTCAATATAGAAGATTTGAATATTTATCAAGCACCTTGAGTTTAACAACTAGTAGACATTTTAAGTTTATTGCTTAACTGTTCAGGTGAGAATTGCACTGCATAGAAGCAAAGAGCTAATTTCTAAAAGTATATAATGGATATTGAACACAGGGTGGTGTTCAGCTAAACAATTTTAATAAACCTTATTTTATTTTTAATTACAAATTTATTTAAATTTATTTTAAGTTACATTCTCTACCACCTTTATTGTAATATTTCATTTATCTTAAATTTATTTTGTTGTTGATTTGAGTTGGGCAAATGTGCTCAGCACCTGACGGCGGGCGATTATATTTAAGCCAATGTGCTGTCCGGTTTGACCCACCTATAAGTTTTAAAGAACAATTCGATCCATAGTCTTTAAATTTTCCTTCTATATGTTCTCCTATAATTGGACTTTAATTTCCCTATTAAAGTTGCCCATTTGACAGTGTCAGTAATGGCCGCAGCGTAAACATGGAAGGCAGAGATATGGTATTCAGTTAGAAGCTGCATTTTTTTGTTGGACAAAAAAAAAATTACTGCCTCTCGAGAAGGAGTAGGTGGCTGGCATTTGCGGGTGGGGCAAGACTTCCCATTTCAGCGTTTCCAGGTACTTTTTGACCACTTTTGCGACGTGAGGCCGAGCATTGTCGTGTTGGAGGATGACTTTTCATGTCACTCTTGATATTGTGGCCGCTTTTCTTTTAGCGCGAGACTAAGGCGCATTAATTGCGTTCGGTAGCGATCTCCTGTGATGGTTTCAACCGATTTTAAGAGCTCGTAGTAAATCACACCGAGCTGATCCCACCAAATATAAATCATAACCTTGGTGCCCTGAATATTCGGTTTTGTCTTCGACGAAGAAGCATGGCCGGGCTTTCCCCATGATTTTCTGCGCTTAGAATTTTTGTATCGAACCCACTTTTCATCACCGGTTACGATTCGATGCGCTTAAGCTACATTCTTTTTCGAATAGTAACAGGAAAGTATAACTTCCCGCAAATGGCGAAAATTAGGCACATAAACGGACATTTTCGGGCGTGACTAATACGAAAACAAGAACAACTGTCCCTGAAACGGCGATGACAATTTGTTAGGCACTGTCCACACTCACTTTAAAGGCATTATCATCTATGTATTTCAACCAGCCTCAGCCGGTACAGCCACCTATCGGAAATCGGCGGAAGCAAAGTTGTACATCTGATATTATTATCAATAATTATCAATACTAATCTTAGGTTCAAAACGTACCAGAACCTAAATACTTTGAAAAGGTTTTTATATAAAAGAAATCGCAAGGATAGATCCAGCCCGGGACTTGAACTTTAATCGTAAGATTTTGAGATAAACACGTTCAAAGTTTTTTGGAAAGTTTACCTTACGTGCGTGCGTGACACAAGTGTGTTCGAGAAGCTGCCATTTGAAACAAATATTCATCGTATTTCCAAATCCCTTTAAACACATTATCTACAAATATTTTTTGCGTAACAAAATCGATTTTTTCAAATCAAAATCACCGGGGAGGGTCCCATTAAAGTAAATAAAATTCTTTAAATATTTCCATTTAGATTTAATCACTACTTAGATTCATTGACCATCTATATAAAAATGTTTTGGAACCAAAAAAAAAGTCTATTTCACCTATTCCCCAATTAATTGCCACACTTTCGCGGTTTTTAGGAGAGGGGACAGAGGCAAATGTCTAATTAATTCGTCTGCGGAAGAGTATCAGAATCGCCACTTTTTTCAATATAAAAAAGCTTTTTTTTTTTATTTGCGAAACTCAATTTGGTGGCCAGTCGACACTAAATGGTGGAAGACTCAGCAAATCGATGTTTTGGATGATCAAAAATCTCTTGACCAATAGACACGAATCCTTTTTGGAGCGTTTGACAAATTGTGTGAGAGGTTCAATGTGTGTCTTGCAGTGATCCACGACCTGGATTGAATTCACTGTACCATAGATAAACAATGGTCCATGATGGAGCTTCATCGCCCAAAATAGAATTAAGTTCATCGATACACTGTTACTGAGTTATTTTCCTCGTCGTAAGTTGTAAAAAGGTGTTTTTTTCGGTTTGCTACAGGCAAACGGTATTGAACTTGTAAGTACACGACATACAAAATCTATGAACGTAAGTGAGCAGAACATTCACATTCGGCCGCAATTGTCGGTGTTTGATGTGCTGGGTCTTCATGGCGTTCTTTTGCTTTTCCCCACATCAGACTCTCCGCAGGCCTTTATTAGCATTTCACACACTTTAAACACAAAGTTCCATACAAATTCTTTGAACCACTTCTTTTAACAAGCTAAATTTGCGGAGCTCATAAAAACAAGTCTATTCTTTGTGGTTGCCACAGAGAAAATCTATAATTGAAGTAGCTGAAATTTGTATCATATTTATGGAGCATCTATACGGCGGCCACAAAAGTAGGTCCACACGTGCTGCTGCTACAATTTGAAGTGTGCTTCTTGATGGTTTTACAACGAATGGCAAGACCTTCAGGTTATTCTAAGCTGTCTCCGGACGTCTGATTGATTTTTATGAAGAGCCTTTCTTCCATGAGAGAAATACACTCGGAGAGGTTGACATTTTCTGCTGAGGGGCGACCGCATTTCAAATTAATTTTCTTTAATTTTAGATGTGGGTCCGAGACAAGGGTTCGAATCCATGACTTTCTGTATGGTAGCACGCATTACTAATGACTCGGCTATCTGTAAGAGGTGCCATTCTAGATAAAAATAAAAGATTTTAATCTTTTTTTTCTAATAATGTAATTGTATTTAGTTCAGGGGGCAGAGGAAATGTAAATTTTTGAGTTTCTTAACATTTATTAAGTCCTTTATCGATTTTTATAACTGTAAATTGTGAAAAACCTTTTAACAACAATATGTCTTCTTTCTTGTCATTCTTCCAGGGCTCTGAAAGGTTGGGACCTATAGTTTTTCCTTCAACTCCTACTCAACACATCGCAAATGCGGCACCGAGCCCAACAACTCCACGTAAATCATCAGATTATCCACAGCAAGCGACAGCAGGTGTTAGCATTAAAAGTGAAAGCAATGACAGTTTTCCGGCGCCAATTGCTGCCTCAGCAGTGGCTAGTGTGGGGGGCGCGGCACATGGTGCGGGTAGTGGTGGTGGAGCGCACGTTGGCATTGGGAGTAGTGTTCCAGGAACATCTCCAGCTGCTTTTGCACAACCGCATAAAGATAATGTTGCGTTGGCAAAGAATAGTAGTCAAACTACGCATTCTCATGCGGCCGATGGAATGTCGCCGGCTACATCGAGAGTTCTATCGCCGATGGTACAACCGGCAGCGGGAGCAAGTACAAGCGGGTCTGTTGTTGCACCTGTACATACGGTTACAATTACTAATGATAAGTCTATGTCTTCTGGTTCAAGTGTGCAACAACAACAGCAGCAGCAGCATCAGCAACAACAACAACAACACCAACAACAACAAATGCATCCGCAGCAACAGCATCAGCAACAGCAGCATCAGCATCAGCAGCACCACCACCATCACCAACATCCACAATTGCTTCCCCCACAGCCACAACAGCAGCATCAGCAGCAACAACAACAACAACAACAACAACAACCAAGTATGGCAGGCGCTCAGCCGAGTTTACCACCACCCTTCTCGGCTCCATCGACGCAGGTAAGAGACTGTACAAATTTTAGAAAAGTATACGTGTTTAGTAACCGTTGTAACTTAGAACGATTGATATTAATGTGTACATCTTTACCTTCCAGGTCTCCACAGAGCCCAGAAGCTTGGTGCCATCATCACCTGCAGCACAACTTATCGACAACCCATATGGTCCGAAGCTAGCATCGAATACAGTTGGCGCACATCTTGCTCCCCCGCCAATCAATACCTCATCAATACACGGTAAAAATATGCCATCAGCACTTGGCGGCAACAGTGTACAGTCTTCGGTAGCCCCAATTTCAATGATATCTGGTCCGATTACCTCGACCGTAACCTCGGGACCTGTAATGGGTGGTATTGGACATGCGAGCAGACTTGGATCGGGACCACAAATGCATCATATGCCTAGCGGATTTGCTTCGGCACCATCGGGGCCAAACTCTGGTGTTGGTCCAAAGCCCGTTGAGGTGACGGCCACAGCGGACGTACCAAAAAGTATTGCAGCACCACCCCCACCACCACCAGTAATGAATGGATTTATACCCGGTTTTATGCCGGCAAATGCAACCGGTCCAAATAGTATACGCATTTCGCCACACATGGGTGGTCATATGGTGCCGGTGACTAGTGGTGTGCCGCCAATCTCGATTGTACCGATACCAGCAACAGCAACAACGACAATACCTACAACAGGCATTCCATCTGGTTCCTCTGCCAATGCTATAAATGCAACAATTTCTTTACCAGTTACCGTGGCGGCCTCGACTTCGTCGGGGTCAATGACACCGATAACAATGTCAAGCATGCCGAAAGGACCTTACATGGTTAGTGCAACAACTGCAAGCTCAATATCAAGCAGTGCGTCAGGTTCTGTAGCACCAAGCCATGGTATGTTTGTGCAAGGCAATCCGGCGATTTCCTTACCAGGTGGACCTCCTATGTTGGGCGGTGTACCCAACGGTATGGCGCCAATGCTAATACATTCACCCTACCGAACGCCATATCCGGGTTATCCATTGTATGCGCCATATAGTGGACTGCCACACAGTCCTTATCTTCCGCCAGCTGTGCCATCTCCTAATGCATCTCCACGCACAATCGATACGCGCACTGGTAGAGAAATAACACAGGTTGCACCTTCACCCAAAGTGATTGCGGCAGGAATGCGACCAGTTACTCCGGTAACCAGTGCAACAGCGGTCTCTACAACACCTATCAGCAGTAGCGGTGGTACAACAATTCCAGCACCGCCACCCACGGCTACCTTATCCTCGGTTCCAATGCCAATGACAGGATTGCCACCAGGTTCAGCGCAAAATCTGCCACCAGGCCAAACTACGCATTTACTGCATCATTTACCATACGGCGCAAGTCCTCACGGCCCGCCACAACAAATAACAGGTGGAGTTGGTTTCCCTATGGGTATAGGGGTACCCCATAGTAGCCATAGTTACGGTGGTAACAGCAACAACAGCAGTCACAACAGTAGCGGCAATAACACGAACACCACAACAACAGCTACAATAGCGAATGCAACGGCTTTAAGTAGTAATAGTAATAACAACAGTGGTCCTCATGGTAGTGGCAACAGCGTGCCTGTAAGTGTTGCCAATACACAAATTCCAATTCAACGTGGCGATACTTCACATTTGCTTCCGCCACCGCCTCCACATATGCTTTCTCATCCAAATCTACCACCTCCACCCGGCCATGTCGGCGGTGTGACGAGTGGCCCACATATGGCGCCCATGCCACATATGCTAATGCATTCACAACATGGAATGCTGCGCGGCATTTCTCCCAGTACTACCAGCACAAACAGCTGTAGTGCTTCTGCACTACCGCTAATTGGTGTCCCAACTTCTTCATCTGTGATTCAGAGAGTTATCTCCCCTAAAAGTGAAAATCCCAGCAGAGAGCGTGATATTGCTTACAGGTACGCGGATTTTAAAATGAAATTATGCGTTTCTTTTATGTACTTCTGTCATTGATAAAATTTGTTCAAACATAAATTTTTGAATCAATTAATTTTAGCATACCGCGTTCTGCGCCATCCATCAATACTCACAGTAGCGGCAGCAATAGTACACCAACAGGTGCTCCTCCATACATAACAACGGCTGTCAGTAATAACAGTAGTGTTGGTTCAGCTATGCCAGTACCCTATAGTAGCACGGTTTCCGCTTTGCATACAATGCATTCGCTTCCAACAACCACAATGGCATCGCCACATCAACACATTGCAACACCGCCTAGTCTACCCTATCCACCAAAAAACACATTATGGCCCAGGTAAGTCGATTTACATTTGATTTGATCTGCCCAAGTATGGGGAGTGAGTCTGAAAAAAAAAAAATAATAATAATAATATTATTATTAACACTTTAGTTCATCGCTGCAATTAACACCATCGACAACGACAACATCGTCGTCGTCATCATCATCATCATCCAGTTTGGCAACGCGGCCGACACCACCGCCGGCGCCACCTCAGTCATCATTGAATACCAGTGCATCGGTTGCTTCAAATGCTGCGGCTGCGGCTGCGGCTGCTGCTGCCGCCTCTATGCCAGCTAATTCAGCTTCGCCCCAAACAACGCACGCTACCGCTGGAGCAACTGCCCCATTTCAGCCTTCATTTTTCATTACGCCATTGCCTCCTCCTCCACCCACAGTGTCTGGCTCAGTGCCAATTAGTAGCAATAGCGGAACAACGCCCTCTACATCCATGGCGGTGTCATCGGGAACAAGCACGTTATCTGGTCCAGCGCCATCGGCTGCTGTTGGTGGTGGTACAACATCCTCATCTTCAGCATCAAGCACGCAAACAACTGTGACGACAGCAACCAGTACGCCAGTAACAACATCGGCACCTCATCCCTTCTCGGCTGAATCTCTATTTCAAACTAGTAAAAGTAATTATAAAGTCTTTAATTGAATTCGTTTTTTTTTTTTTATTTTAGTTAGTTATTACACAAACACATTTGTATTCAATTCTTTATCGCTCTACCATCCCAACCATGGAATAATAATATTATATGCACTTGTTTGTGTTACGTTAGATGATCAAGCAGATCTGTTGAGGCGCGAATTGGACAGCAGGTTTCTCGATCGTTCTGGTTTGGCTGTACAACCGCCGGCACCACCACCACCCTCCACGTATTTGCGCCAGGAGCTGCACCATCATCAGCACCAACATACACACCTACATCAGCATCAACAGCTTATCCCAGCCGCTTTGCCGGCAGCACTACCAGCTGCACCGCCCCCAGCACCGGCACCTATCTTCCCGCAATTATTCAAAGACATTCCAAAAATAGCGGCCGTGGAAACGCCATTCTATCGCACCGGCATCGGTTTGCCTGGCTATCCGGGATATAATTCGGGATTATTACATCCAGGACTGGGCGGTGCAACGCCTTTTATGCCGCCTGGTCATCTAACAACATTCGCGCCAAAGGTAAAGCATTATAACGCTCTCTTGTATTCTTCATTGGACATGTTGTTTGTTACATATTTATTTATATAATTTAAACATGCATACGCACCCATGCCATTGCAATTACATAATTACATATCTACACACCATTTCAATTGTCCTCTAATCAACAATCCACCAATCTACATACATTCCTTTAACACTATTTCTCATTTTCATGTTAATAACTCATCGTCATGTTACGTTTCGTATCCCACAACCAACCAAATAATCCAATCAAAATTTAGCCGATACCGCCATCATCGCCCTCCGCTAACACCAATGCCACGAACTCAAATAATCCACCAACGAATCTTGATTCCTCTAAATCTGCAAGGTTTACGGTATGTTTCTTTCTTTTTTTTTTAAATTCTGAATTCGCTGTAGTTTGGAAATATAGAAAATATAGTGTAAAAAGTATATTGCAATAAATAATTATGGAAGTACAAATGCAGTATACGAGATAAAGGTTGCAAATGATTTTTTTTTTTTTTTTTTTTTTTTTTTTTTTTTTTTTTTTTTTTTTGGAAATTGATTAGCTATATTCAAATATATGTATTTAGCGCGGGTACAAATAGCTTACGATATTTTCAAATTTTCGAGACTCAATTGAATCGAACCTCGCTTTATAGGACTTGATAGTTACTTGACTGTTTGCCAATTAAAATGTACGCTCATTCATGATTTAAGGAGGTCTGGTGGCTGTGACAGCCCAGTGGTTTGCCAGTGCTTACTGCAATTCGGAAGTCCAGGGTTCGGGTTATGTTATGAATTCGAATTGCAGAAACTAGTTTCGTCGTGTGACGAATTTGAATTCTCTTTTATAGCAAAATTCATGTAGGAAATAAAAATTACCGCAACAGTTGCTGTGTGAAAAAAAAAATCGGGGCTGTACTAAAATCCGTTCGGAATTAATTTCGCATCAATTTGGGTTACCGATTCGGGCCCAAAAAGGTGTACTGAAATCCTAAAGGAATTGAGAAATTCGAACAAAATACATAACTGATTCGAAGTGTCACAATTTTATTGCTTCTTGCTGCTTAGGTATGTTCTGAGAGCTGCTCACCAGGTACGTTTGGTAACAATGCTTACCAATTGTTTCTGAGCCGCGTTCGTTGACCTTCAATTTGGAGCAGTGAATTATAATCATCGTCCGCACACCACACAATCTCCATTGACGATTTGGATGTTAGGAATGTTGAACACAAAGAATTCAAAGATTTACATAATATTCTTATTTGTATACGATGCAAGTTGATTTTGAGTGCCTTTAATTTACTACTAGAGAGCAGTGTCTCGACCAAATGAGCTGCAAAACATTGCGAAACAAGGTTGTAATTACCGCCATAATAAATGAATGGAAAGCGCACTTTTTAGCCTCCATTTGTCTACGTTTCTTAGGAGTTCAATCCGTCAACTAACGCTTCTTTGCATTTTTTTCGATCGGAATTTTCCAATAAATTGACAAATTGTTTGAATTCGAATTCGAAAATGGATTCCGATAGCATTTCAGAAAGCGGTTTCGATTGTAATTGGATTTTAAAACAGTCCCGAATAATTAGTGCTATCCGCATACAGCATGGTAATAAAAGGGGGAATTTTTTACCAGTATATTTTTTAATTAGAGTGCATGATTTACGTAAAAAAGTGTAGGTATTTTAAATATAAAATTGATACTAAAAGAAACTACATCTTATTTGCATATTAACTTCAAGATATTGCAGATTTTGAAATGTAAAATGGAAGAAAGGAAAAACGTAAATCAGCTGTAAATTCTCTTAGCAAAATGGCGCACAGAGATTTCTTCAAACCTTTCTTCAAGCTCATGTATATAAAATACCCATCTATTTCCCATTATATTTATATATTATTGTTAAAGAAAATAAGTAAATTTTGACAGATACAAATCCGCTTGATAACATTTGGCATTTTCTAGAAAAGAAATTTTTTATTAACAGCCGTGAAAACACAAAAGCTGCAGTGATTGATGCCTAGGTGGACCAACTAAATACAAAGAATTAAAAATTATATATTTTTACAAATAAATCTTGATTAAGTAGAAATCTAGTATGTTTTTTTTTTAACTAGTAACTGGTATAAAGTTAAGAATTAGGTGTTTCGAGATCAACATTTGGTCTAAGACGAAAATTTCTTATGGATTCAACGTTTTGAAACCAATTCGGTCATTTTCAAACCAGTAACTGGTCCAAAGTGCAAAACCGATGTTTGGTCTAAAACAAAAACTCAGTATTTTTCAAGCCAGTAACTGGTATAAAAGTGATGTTTGGTCTAAAACGAAAATTTTCAATATTTTTCAAACTGGTATAAAGTTCAAAATCGATAATTGGTCTTAAACGAAAATTTTCAATATTTTTGAAACCAGTAACTGGTATAATGTGTAAAAGCGATGATTCGTTTTAAACGAAAATTTTCAATATTTTTCAAACCAGTAACTGGTATAAAGCGAAATTTTTATTGTTTAGGTTATTTAATTTTTTCTTATTACAATGAAATACTTTTTTTTTTTTGCAAAGAAACTTCCTTACAGAATTTCTTAAATATTGGCATAAATACTTTACTTCTTAGAAGATTTGCCAAATTGAAAAAACTTTGTACTAAATGCCTGTCACTATTGGCCACTAACATATTTCTATATACAAATTCAAGAGCTCAAGATATTGCCATCATTATAAATTCACCTTGCAGGGAAATCATATTGTTAAATAATTTTCTCTTCGTTAGTTTTGAAGGTCCTCGAAGCCGAATTTCATACACAAAATGGTACACAGACTTTTAAAATATTTAAAATGAAAAAAAATTAAAGTCAAAAGAGTTTGAGTTTTCAGAGTTTGAGTTTCCTAAAGATCGTCCTTAAACACCTATATGAGTATATAAAAGACTTTGTCCTGTTGACTGTCGGTTCAACCCACAGTCTAAACTACTGTTTCTAGAGACCTGCAACTAGAAAGGTGTGGCCTGCTTATGACGTATGCACGCGATAAGAAATGATTTGCAAGATCTATAGGAAAAATCGAGTTTGATTTACATGAAATTTGTCTAAACTGACATGGGGAACATCTTCTCCTCCGGGAAGCGGAACTGATCCGACTTATTCCAAAATTGTTTTTTTATCTTTATCACTACCGAGGTAGCTTTAGGCCTAAATTAATAAACCATTTTAGAAATCCATGCGAATGAAGTTGCGGGCAACCTCTGGTATTTTATAAACTGGTCGAAAATTTTTTTTTTCAATTTGACATTTTATCTTGTTGATCACAATTAATACAGATAAATTACCTTGACCGTTTCTTCAGAATGCCTTATATTATTTATGAAAAATACTTTAAAACTCTGTTGTACCAGCAGCACAAATCTTAACGTGCCAGTGAAAATTAGAGAAATCAAGGAGCATTTAAGTTTAGGTCAGGTCGCAGGTACTGAAAATAATTTCATAATCAAGCAAAGGTCACTAAATCGTAGCAAGTAATTAAAAATAATTAAAGTGAATTAGAAACTAAAGGCTTTAGCCATAAAGTACACGTCGAAATTATTTAATTTAATTAAATCGAATTTCAATTTATACCATTTTAATGAATATATTAATGTAACTATCTAGAGAAGGTTAACTTCCACATCAAGCACATAAATTTAAAGACTCCAATCAATAAAAAAAATATTATTACCTTCAGTCGGATTAAAAAAAAGTGCTCGTCTTACCCATAAATTCCTATGCTGTTATTTTCACTTCATCACAACATACATACATTCAAATAAATCATCTTTTACATATCTCAAACATAAACTCAACTGAGCGCAACTCAATAACTATTGTTCGTCCTCTTTCCACAATTAATTGAAATGTTTCTTCCCCAACATTGTTCAATAGAAAACTGGTCGTTGGAATGCCATGCATGTGCGTATCGCGTGGGAGATTTACTATAATCAAAACAAACAAAATCCAGATAAGTTAGCCAATACACAAATGGGTGTTGCTGGCGCTTCGCCAGTTGGAGTATCACCGGGTGGTGCGCCAACATCGTTGAGCGCCACTGGACCGTCGCCATCTTCCTCGGTAACGTTGAGTGGACTTAAAACATCGCCAGCGTTATCGTTAAGTTCCGCATCGCCACATATGCTGCATCGGCCCGGAGAATTACCACCCGGTGCTATGGCAGCCTATGCCGGTGCTTTGCCAGGTCGTTCACCATTCGAAACATCGCCGTTATCGACGAGTTTTATTGGCGCGCCACCCAGTCATATTGGTAAGTAAAATTAGATATTTTTGTGACTGAAAAATTTTAGATAAACACTTAATGTGATTTTGGTGTTGCTCTGAATTATTATTTTTATAGGCACAGCGGTATCGCCATTCGGACGTTATGCGGCACCATTTGGCTTCGGTTTGTCACACTTCGGCTGTGAGACGTGGCGTCCGTAAGTATTATTCATAAAGCATAGATTTCGAGGTAATTTTCAAAAACGTTTCTGTTTTTAAGGCTCCAACGTACTGTCGCATATCATCCTGGCGCTGCAAGTGCACCAATGTGGCCACTCAAACCTGACCCGGCATTGGATAATGCACGACGTGAAGCGGAGGAGCGCGAGCGAGAGCGTGAGATGCGTGAACGTGAGCAACGTGAACGCGAGCGACAGCGTCGCGAACGTGAGGAGCGTGAACGCAAAGAAAAGGAAGAGAAAATTAAGCGTGAACAACAAGAACGTGAGCGTGAGCGCGAACGCGAACGGGAGCGTAAAGAGCGCGAGCGACGTGAAATGGAGCGGCGCGAATTGGAGCGTGAACGTATGTTGCAACAACAACGTATTAACGAAAGCAACAAATTATCGCAGGCAGCCGCGGCTGCTGCGGCAATGAACTCAACACAACGTGATCGTTCGCCACATCGCAACATCAACGATCCGCTGGGCGGGCCCAGCGGCGGCGAAATACGTATTAAGGAGGAACACCCGCGCACCAAAGAAGAACAAGATGCTATGCTTATGCGCGCTTCAGCCGCAGCAGTGGCAGGCGATCCGCGCTATCACCAATCCATAGCGGTAGCGCAAGCTAGTGCGGCAGCGGCTGCACACCATGCATCGTTTATGGCCGGACGTCATGGTCCGCACGCTGTGGGACCACCACCACCGCCGCATCTGGCACGCACCATGATGTCAACATCATTGGGCGGCCCACCCATGACACATTTCGGTCCACCGGGTCCACCCGGCTGGCCAATGGATCCCTATCGTGATCCGTACGCACCAATGGTACGCTATAATATATTAGAGGCGCTGCGTCACGAAGAGGAGCGACACAAAGTGTTAAGCATGTATGCGGCGCAATCGGCGGCACACTTACGCGGCAAGGAACCCAGTCCTATACCGCCGCCAACAGTGGGTGGTCCATTAGGACCACCACCGCCACCACCACATCATCGCATTCAACAATCGCCGCATCATCAACAGTCACCGCATCATCAGCAGCAGCCTGGCGGTGTGCCACCGCCACCTACGATCATAGGTAAGCCGCCAACGCTTGGCGGCATGCCACATCCGATTACCGTGGATACGCATCATACGACAAAGAAGGAAGATGTCGGTCCGAATGTTGGGGTAGGGGTAAGCGGCATGCAAACTGCGCCTTCGCCATCGGCGCAGGGTCGATGATAAACAACATAACTTATACATAAGTTGTGAAGTTGAGAAAATGATTGTTTAAAATTGGAAATTTGCTAAAAATGTGTTTTAGTTTCTTTGTAAATGTGCGTTTTCGTTTTGGGCAAACTTTATCGCTTTAGCTGCAATGTTTCTTTCGATTGTTGAATATAGTTTTAATGCGTAGAAGCCTGTATAAAGCCCATTTTCATACATATATATATATATATATATATATACATGCAATATTTATTCAAAGGTATATACACGTAAATATATATAAATGTAATAAAGTTTAATATAATACAAATATGCTAAACGCAGCAGAGAGATGTAACAATTATAAAGACTTTTGAAAATTTTTTTTCTTAAAAATGTCAAATTTCTACAAAGCGATTTGTAGTCTTTTGCTTGTGTATAATTTTTTTTTTGTTTTACTGTATAAAAAACATTTAAAAACCAATATGTTTAACAGATGCTATGTATATGAGAAGAATATTTTGATGAGGAGGAAAACATTAAATTTGTCAAATACACACACACACACACACATACATAATTAATTACAAATCGCTGACTCGAACTTATGCATACTCGATATAACTTAGTAGTAAATAAATAAATAAATAACAGATGAAGCAAAACATAAGGTAAAACTTTAATAAATAGGTAAAAGCTGCAAAAGCAAAAAAAAAAAATAAAAAATAATAATAAATAAATCGGATATACGCAGACATTATGTAAGATATTAAGGCGACCTGTCGAATTAATCCGAAAACATTTAGACGTACATTATGTATTAAAAACACAGACACACACATTCATCTGTACGTACCGACGCTAATTATGTGCAAGGAAAAACTTACAGAGTAAACAAAAAGAAAAAAAAGAAAAAACAAAAAACAAAACAGCAACGGGAAACCAGTTAGTTTATAAATGTATTAAAATTGGTAGTACATACTTATGTAGGTTTATATACATTCATATAAATAAATAAATATATATAGGCATACATATGTATTATATATATATATATATATATATATAAATGCATAATAAAATTTAATTAGTATGTAATTCGTGTGCACACAGCCCCTTGTATTGTATCCCTTCCACATCCACTAATCCAAAATGAAACTCAACTCCACCATTATCCTCATATGTATGTCCACAATTGCACCTAAAACAAAGTATATATACACATAAATATTTAGAGCATTTGTATTATTTGTATAATGATGGTATAAAGCAACAAATTATATATTAAATTTATTATTATAAAATTATTAAAATTAAGTAGCTTTACATTATTTATAAAAAAAAAACAAAAAAAAAAAACAAAACAAAAATAAATCCAAAATAAATACATAAATAAAAATTAAGAGAGGAAAGTGAATGAGTAAGATACTATAATACATACACGCAAACGAGTAATAACAGAAAATAAAAGTAAATAACTAATTTGCATATTATGTAATGTAATAAACGGATATAAATTAAAGATAGAAACAATGCTAAAAATATAGAAAAGAAAATTAGTTTATTTTCACGCCAAAGGAGTAATATTAAAGAAATATTGGTTTTAAAAACAAACCCGATCAACACTTGAATTTGGGCCGAACTGTCACCGTTCCTTGCGTATTGGACTGAAACATAACTTCCAATTGGCCTCGTATATATATATACATTTATACAAAACCACAGTTTTCGTGCTAAAGAACACATTGGGGCATGTCTTTCGTCATAGTTCAAGTTGGTATTCAATGAGTTTATTTACTGTTTGTAGCAAATGTCATCTCATAATTCTCTCTAAAATCAAGGAAACTCGGAGATAATAAAGATGCTGACAAAACATACTGAAAAATAGTATAGTCCCAAAGGTGTTGCAGTAGTTTTATAGATGACAGTGTGTGGTGATTACTCAACTCAGGTAGTAACACAGTGAGCAGTCTCGGAGCTGCATCTGTCAACTGGTCGACTCAAACTCTTCGTTCTCATATATTCCAGCTTGGTTTTCGGGGAATATTGCGCAAGTGACAGCCCTTAACCGGATAAAAATCCGGATCGTTCCGGTATGACGATGCTCGTTGGAACCATTGGATTTTAGTCGCCTCTTACCACAAACTTGCCTTACCACCGGTAAATTTTTCAACCCCTAACCCGCAGCGGTCTAAACTCAAGTAGTAACAGACATTGAAATCTCGGAGTTACATCTGTCGCCTTCTTTGTTCCCACAAATTTCGTTCTGTTTCTTGGTCTGCAAATGTGCAATGACGAAAATTGCTCTACAAGTCGGCACTTGAATAGCATAGAAGATGGCAGGCTGAGCTGTACGAGATGTACAGCGATTTTAGGTGGAAAGTGATCTGGCTACGATTGGTGTCATATTGATTCGGCTATAATCGAATAAGCGGTGTCAACCCCAATTAAAAATAATATTTTTTCGTGCCATATCCGTATATTCGGGGAGGGAGGAATTGGCATACCCTGTCATTCAGTAATTATATTGTCACTATGTAACCGCTGAATCGATTTTTCGGCCGAGCTTCTCTTCTAATTTGTAACTTTACGCCTCCGAATGGTTGATGGTTATTTTATGAGGAGCCCTTATTGAATTTCTTAAATACACTCATATACCGATGATCTGTCGATATTGGCGTCTGACCGGGATATTGATGTCTTATGTTCGAAAGTGGACTGTTATCACGAAGACCTTTCCCCGCAAAATTCTCAGCGCTACCCTCTTCACCAGCTAGACGAAGGTGTCCAGGCTTGAACTCGATGTGAAAGTCTGCCAAAACACTGCCCTCAGGACTGTGATGGAAAATCTTTCTGTGTTACCAAATCATCATTTGCGCAGCGAAGCATTGAGTTAAGAACCATAATGCTTCCCTGTGCAAGCAATTCCTGCTGGGATGCTACCCTAACAGACGCTTACTAGAAGCCGAACCACAACCCACCCAAGCACATCAGAAAGAGAGTATTAGACCTCAAACACTGTATTGGGCTTATCGACAATCCGTATACGTCAACACCTTCCTGAATTCTCTTCCATGGAATAGCATTCTCGGAGTCAAAACACCATCTATTGCAGGCAAAGAGCTTGAGCTGCCGCACACTATTTATAGAATGTTTTTAAGGTTTGAAGGATTAGTCGGTATAATAATGAGTATTATTTTAAAAAGATTATCTATGCGTATTAAAATAGCTCTTTATATAATTTTAACTCATACTCGTCGGAGAAGCTTTGAGTTTCACATATTTAGGTACAAAAAAGAGGTTTTTCGCAGTTTCTGGTATTGGTCATACCCCATTAGAGTTCGGTACAAGTATTTGCAATATCGGTACAGAGTTTCAAATAACTATAGCGTTGGCAACCCTTATCAGCTGTTCAGTGCAGTCATCGCCACATAGTGGTTACTAGGAAAAATATTTTCTTCTATTTGACTCAGTGAAAAATTGTAAACAATTTGGAAAAAATGGCAAATTTCATGCAAAATAGTGTGGTGAACTATGCTTGCACTTGTGGCCTTTTAAATCCAATAACGAAATTATTTTTTTGTCGCCATTGCCTAAAGTTGAGGTGTGGTTTCTGCGTCTGCCATGAAGTGAGTAATCTGTTGACCAAATTTGCAGAGTATAGTTAAAAAAATGAATGTACATATGTCATACTGCTTATGTTTATTAGGTGGATTCGCATTTTTGTTCGAATTGTTTGGAGAATATACCATCATCGGAGGCAAAACATAAAAAGAATTGCTGCACCAATTGTTTCAATTGTCCTTGCTGTCAGCACACTTTATCAGCGCGAGCCACCATGGTGGTGGTGCCGAAGTAAGTTGGAATATTTCAAAGCTTTCTTTTCTTTACAAATACTAAATATTGTTTAATATAGGAAAACTGATGAAACGACGAAAGAGGGAGAAGGCGATAGCGCCAAAGCTGTAACAAGGAAAATGTACTATTTGTCCTGTTTGGGTTGTCGTTGGACATCGCGTGACGTAGGAATACCAGATCAAACTGTGGGTAAGTGTAAATCATTTTGAATTTTCAGCGAAAAAACGAATTTGTAATAAAATTTCACTGAATAATCACAAAGAGCGAAAGAGCAAGTTTTATAAATATTTTTTTTTTTTGCACACAGCTACTGGTGCATGGCCCGAAAACGAATGTTCTTATCAAACACGCTTCAATGCCTTGTTAGAGTATTACCAAGCTGTGGTACTACAAGACAAACAAGAAAAGCAGGAGTATATACGACGTAAAACACCCAAAACACATAAATTTCCCAGTCTGACCGTAAGTAAAACTTTGGACCCATATAATGTTTTCGTATGCTTATAACATAAATAAATTCCCTCTTCACAAGGATCGCACCGGGTTGACAGTTTCGATGATACGTCGCCAAATCGGCTGGCCTGATAAGAATACCCAAAAAGCCAAGCCGGTAAATATATCACCTTCGCTTGCAACAGATGAACTTGATGAGCTGCCAGCTGATATTTTCACTCAGCCAATAAATTTGCGAAATGGTAGCATAATTGATTTGGAATATGCTGAATTAAAATATAAAATAATAATATCTCATTTCAGTCACTAATATCAAACAACGTCACGGCCAACCATCCGATCAGCCATTCAACGTGAATAAATTATATCCACAGCGTCGTATACTATGGATAAAACGTTCGTTACGTTGTCGCCAGTGCGAGCATAATGTCATCAAACCGGAATATCATCCGACATCGGTTAAATATCGTATACAGTTATTCGCTAATTACCATGTGCCTGACGTTTTGCTTGTACAAAATGAGCAAATCTTGCGTGCAGGACAATCTAGTTATATTGTACTCAAGCTTACGAATCCAACATTGCATGATGTTTCCATAACAATTAAAGAATTACCAACGCTTGCTGAAGAATTGCAAATGATCGAAGAATTCAAGCTGGCTTGTAAAATAAAGGAAAATACCGCAACTAGTGCTGCAGCTGAATCTCTAAAATCCATTACTAGTTCACCATCGTTGACTAGTACCACACTCTCACGACAAGCATCACTCATTGAAGAACCACGTTTAGTTGAGCAAAAATCAAATGTGAAGCTGCATGAGAATGAATTGAAATTTGTACTCAATCAACGGGATGACTCGTCTGAATTCGATGAAGATGTGCAAACGCCACGCGAGGAGCCTGAGTAAGAATTTCACTTACATATAGGTTATACAATCATATTGACTGATTTTTTGCATTTATATAGATTTATCATTTGGCGCAAGTCCAATAGAGCTTCTATACGGCTCAACTTTACAACCGACGAATCATTACAAGCTGGCGATATGGTAAAAGTTGGTTTCACAATGGAGTACACATACGTGAATACTGTGTCCAATACACCAACTACGCATACACTGAGCGCACGTGTCTTCATTGATGCCGGAAAAATTGCTGATGAATAATTTATACTTATATTTAAGGGAAATATTCAAAGTTTCTGCTTTAAATGCAGCGTTTATGCAAGAAAATAAAGGCTGCTTGGCGGTCATTTATTATTAAATGCTAGAGTATTTACGCTATTTGGAAAAGTATTCCTAATCAATATTTATTTTTATCTTTTGCAATATAAACCGAAAACAACAAATAAAATTGCTAATCCATTACTGCTAATTTAACCTCGTGTAAGCAAAAATACATAATATTAATTTATTTTAACTGATTTATTTCATTTTCATCACCCACGTCGGGCATACATGATTATCAATTTCAAGATAGATAATCTCATTATAGTGTGCTATATTTGATTCAACATACAAACATACGCATATTGCAATTTTTATTGGAGCTTTCTTCAATAAGCCATCTTCTGCTGCTAATGAAAGTAGTATGCCAGTGAATGGGGAAAATACAAATAAATGGGACAATACAATACAATATATTATTTATTGTAGTAGATTTTATTTATCACTGTTAATAACGTCTAGTGTGCCTTAAGTTTACAAAGCCATTTTTCGTCCTTCAATGGAAATCTCAACAGCACGTCTTGATGATTTTAAACGTTTTGCATCCAAAAATTTCTTCATATGCTTTTCGAAACGATTAGGTTTGCGTTTCGTTGACTGCGAGAAGAAAAAAAAATTATATTAAATAATTTGAAATTTAATTTTCTACATTTAACTTACCGATGAAATTTCCCCTTCGACAGTTGACTTCGGACGTACGACATAATCCTTATTTGATGGTAATGGCACACGTGCACGGGCAACCCAACCGGGGTCACCAGGTCGCAGTGGCTTCTCGTCGGATTTCCCAAAAGCTGAATTCAAACCCTTCTTTTTACTGGTGGACGCTACTGGTTGTGGTTCTGGTGATTTCTGTCGTCGTGGCATCTGTGCTAAATCTCGCTCTTGTCGCTCCTCCTTCGACATGGCCTTAAAATCACAACTCAAGTTGAATATAGGACGTGCCCATTCGGATATTAGGCGACCTGCTCGTTCACGATTAGATTTTGTTTCTTGTGGATGTTTATATAAATACATAACAGCTTTTCCGATGCCAGATTGTTTCAAATATGTTCTATCTATTGTTGGGAACTGAAAATTAAATACTTTAATACTCAGTTATGATTTATTTAATGTAATGTTGCTTACATCAGCTAGTAATCTTAAAATGCTGTCACGTATTTGCACGCAAGGCAAACTTCTGTTTGGCAGCGGTGCCAACCAATCTGTCAACACGTTCAATATGTTATGCTCCATGAAAGCTAATTGCAAGTCCTTCTTGATGAGTTGGGACATAACCATCTTCAGCATTGAAATCTTCTTCGTAGCGGGACTACCTTCCAAATTTAGTTGTCGATCTTCGTCTGCAGCGTTCTTCATACCGACGATTAACTGATCGATTAAGTCGTCATTATCATTTATTAAGCTGATATCACGCTTTCTACGCCGTACTCGTTTTTCTTCTTTCTTACGTAACAACATGGCATCAAAGTCAGATATGAAGTTATCATTCCTAACAAGAAAATATACATTACATCAATTTTAAAAGTTAAATAACTTTATAATTCACATACTCTCGGCTATCATCTATTGGTATATTTTCATCATCAGAACTCTCATCTGCCTTTTTCTGCTCAGACTCGCCTTCCTTACCCTCTGCAGTGTATGCATCTTTTTCCTCTTCTTCCTCGTTATCTGTGTCCGTTATTTTAGCACGCTTTTTTGTAGGCGAAGGACCTTCGTCTTCATAAAAAAAAAAAAAAGAATAATAATGAATTATGGACCAATGTAGTTTAAACTTAAAATTTAAAATAAACACTTACCCTCTGAGTCACTCAATATATTTCTCTTCTTCCCCTTTTTGACTGTTGATGGAGAGCCGCTTCTCGATCGAGATTTTGATATAGATCTGGAACGACTGCGTGATTTAGACCTAGAGTGCGCGACAGATCCAGATCGGGACCGAGACCTAGATCTCGAACGGCTGCGACTTTTGCTTCTGCTGGTTCGGCTACCAGAGCGACTACGAGATCTAGCCGATCCGCTGCGAGATCGGCGAGAGCCACTTCTTGAGCGTCTGGATCCACTACGTGACCGATTTGAACCACTTCTTGACCGTCTGGATCCACTACGAGAACGTCTTGATCCACTTCGAGAACGCCTCGATCCACTACGTGAACGCCTCGATCCACTACGTGAACGTCTTGATCCACTACGTGAGCGATTTGAACCACTTCTTGATCGTATGGATCCACTGCGAGAGCGTCTTGATCCACTTCGAGAACGCCTCGATCCACTTCGTGAACGTCTTGATCCACTCCGGGATCGCCTTGATCCACTTCGTGATCGAACAGATCCACTACGAGAACGTCTGGATCCACTACGTGATCGTCTTGAGCCGCTCCGTGATCTTGCTGATCCGCTACGCGAACGACTAGACTTACTACGGGAACGCCGTGAGCCACTTCGTGAACGACGTGAGCCACTACGAGAACGACGAGATACACTCCGCGAAGTTCTAGATCGGCTGCGAGAGTGAGCAGAGCCACTGCGTGAACGTCGTGATCCACTTCTTGATCGTACAGAACCATTATGAGACTGCCTTGAAGCACTACGGGAGCGTACCGCCGCGTCTCGCGATCTGGAACGTTCAACGGAACCACTATTTCTACGCTGCTTCCTACTTCTGCCCATTTCCGAACCATCTTTGGAACTCAAACTTCGACTTCGACATTGCCTTTTAGATTCTTTAGTTTCCTCAACAACATTATTATCATTATTTTCTCTTGGACTACCACTCCGGCTACGACTTTTTGTTCGTGTGCTATTTTCATATTCACTAGCTTTTTCTACAGTTTCGTTTATTGTATCGGGTTTTAGAGGTGATGCTGGAGTTTGCGGACTTGCGGAACGTGATTTTGATATTGATTTTCTTGAAATTTCTGCAGTCTTTTCAATAACACCACTGGGGCTGTGAATTTCATCATTAGTATCCAGCTTGTCTTCTTCTTCTGTGGCTTTTATGCTAGGATCAACAGCTCCATTCTCTTCAGCTGCAAGAACTTCATCAGCCTCAATTAACTTTTCCGTTACGGTCGGTGCAGGGGAGCTATTTGTAATAGCTTCTTTTTCAACAGCGCCATTAGAAACTTCTAAGAAATAGAAAAAAATATTTTGTTAAAGCGTTTAAAAATTTTGATAACCAAAACATAACCTCACTTTTTATTCTTAATCACTAAATGAAAATGCGTACTACATGCCTACCTTTTTCTACCGTTTCCATTATTTAATATATTTTTTTTAAAGGCCACACCGAATAAAACGGCTAAAGCCTAAAATATTTATGGAATACCAATAAATAAATGTATATCTCCTGGTTAAATCAGGTAAGAGAAAACCAGCAAAATGAACGCTTTTTGACACAAACAATTATAAAATACTGCTAGGGATGCAAGTGATCGATAACAATTATTGTACGATATTTCGAAAGCTTGTATGTGTCTACACTATACAGTTTCTTTCTGCCATGTATGCATTTTTCTCTGTTGGGGTAAATCAATCAAATTAAGGCTATTTAAAGTGTCGAAAAGTTATTGTGGCGAAAACGTCAGATACGAATGACAAATGACAAGTAGATGCCGATATCTAAAGCGCTTTCCAATTGTAAGGATTTGGAAAGTCACCGAAGCTTGATGAGGAAAATCGTAATATTATCATTTTTAAACGGCCATTGCGACAATCCCTAAAAGAGATAGTTTCATATTAAGCATACGCGTGTAAAATTGTTTGACCACGGCGAATACCTATAGAGGTATGACAATATGTATTAAAAAGTAGTATAAACAGTTTTTTATTTTTATGATAGAAAATCAGTTTGAAAGATGTTCATTGTTTGACAACATATGTGTTGTGGAAAGTTGAAGATGTCACGCAATGAGCAAAAATGCTATCTGCAATGACCCTAAAAATTTTTTGTGGAAAACAATATATTTGTAAAGTCCGGCAACGTTGCGAAATGCACCACAGAAGTAGCGACGTTTGGATTTAGTTATTTTATCATTTGAAAAAAAAATTAATAATAATAGATAATTTCTTTGTAAAACTAACTAATTATGAGTTATCGTGGTATTCCAGCCGGATATGAAGATGACGAAGACTGGTGTCTCTCCGATATGGTCCAAAAAATCACGGTTGTGCCAGACATCACTACGGCCGCTGGCCTGAATAACGAAAATTTCGATCGCAATCTCAGCACCGACGTCAACAACTGGTTTGAGAGTTACAAAGAGCAATGGAATTCTTGTAAATATATATTTCCGTAACTATAGTTCAATTTAGAATAATTGAACTAAAATAATTAATCATAAGTCTTATTTAATGCAAAATATAATTTTTTTTTTGTAATTGATTATTTAGATAAACGCACGCCGGCTGCACAGCACAATCTCAAAGTGATGCTTATGAGAGATCCAGATCCGCTACTACTTGCCTTAAAATTATTTGCCAATTGTCCCGGATGTAACAACTTAAAAAACAAGAATCTGGCGTTATTTAGTAAGATGTGGTTTTTCTTTATTTCAATCGTTATATCTTAACCAAAATTTGTAATGACTATATGTAGTACTGGAAACCATATGTGATCTTCATACGCAACATCCAGAGATATCTGCAAATTGTTCTGACAACACGCGCATGGTGGCTTTCAATTTTGTAAAGACTTGCGGTATGGTGCCGCTTTATAAGGCTGTGATGTCTACCTATGAGCTGAAAAAAATATGTGAACGGCTGGTGCCTAAAATAAAAGAGCTAATAACGCAGGGTCACTTTAAGGATGTATGTAACCGACATATGCATATATGTATTTGTCTATTGAAATGAATTTTTTTTTTGTTTTAAATTTCCAACAGGCTGCGCATTGGACGATAAATTTGCAAATTACTCATCTTTTCAGCATTTTTGATATTATATTTCCATTAATTTTGCAAGATAAGGCTTCATTGGCAGAGGAGTATCTTAATGTTGCCAAAGATTTGCAATTGCCGACAGTGCAATTTCTAGATTCCCTATTGGATAAACAAAAGACTGTATTAGAACATTGTGATGAAATATTAATGTGAGTTATGATACTAAACAATGTATTGTTAAGTTTACTATTTAAAAATTATACAAATCCTTGGTTATTAGGAAATATGAGTACAAAGATGTCAAGCATAATGTCTTAAGCTATCGTCCGATGTCTAAGTTAGTGACACGCTTGGCAAAGAAATATAAGATTGAAACGCATCTTACACCGAATCTCAATTTTACAAAAGCTTGTTCTTACATGCATTATTTGTGGCATAAATATCAAGATGGTGGAATGAGTTGTGATGCTTGGCGTGAATTGGTACGCGATGCTGCCAGTACGAGACTATTACAAATGGATTTGGTGACAAATGTGGCCAGCTATGGAGATTATGAAGAAGCACAATATTGGTTAAATTATTTTAATATTCCATTGGAGGATTTACCAAGCGATATGCGCAAAAATTTTCAATGGCATATAACCGCTGAAAAAACTGAAGACGATAAAGTTCTGCTAAATACAAGCAATGAATCTACAAATTCAACGAATAGTGGCGGTGCAATAAACAAATCAAAACGTTCAAATTCGGCAACAAATAATCTATATTTAACTTTAAATCTACCCATAGAAAGTGTTATCATAATCGATAATGGAGCGAAATTTCTTGAAATGCTCGATTATCTGGAAAGTCAATTGCTTATTGCATTTGATTCCGAATGGAAACCAACCGTTTGTAATGAAAATGTTATATCACTCCTACAAATGGCTACAATGGATAGAGTTTATCTATTAGACTGTCTTTCTACACAACTTAATGACGAATTATGGTTGCAGCTCGGACGCAGAGTTTTCAACAATTTGGAGATATTGAAAATTGGTTTCTCTTTACATCAAGACTTGCGTATGCTGCACAAATCATTACCCTTGCAATTGAATTTGAATACGAAAACATGTTATTTGGATTTGCGTGAAATGTGGCGACGTTTGAAATATTTACAAATTGTCAAATTCCCTTACGACAGTGGTTTCAACACCGGCGATAGCTTGTGTGCATTGACGGAAATATGTTTGGGGAAGAAATTAGATAAATCAAATCAATGTTCGAATTGGGCTAATCGACCACTGAGGCACGACCAAATTGTATATGCAGGTGTGTTTAGAAAAAAAATTTCGATTTAAACAATATCAATATTTCAATTACATTATTCTATTTACGTATAGCACTTGATGCACATTGCTTACTACAAGTTTACCAAGTACTCTCGGAAATGCTGCTACGTCTTGGTTTGGATGTTGACCAGGTTGTTGATGAGGTGACGACCGGCAAGACTGGCTATTTATTCCGTATGAAACGCGTTATATCGGAACAAAACGACGGTTGCAGTACCGTTTTCTCTCCAAAAACCAATTTACCAAAAGTAAAAGCAGTAAATGCACAAATTGAAAATAATTGGTAAGCGCTTAAACGTGCTTACAGTTTTAATATTTAATTGTTGTATCTGTATTTTAATACGATTTAGTACAATCAATGTGAAATTCATCGCTGACAGCATGCTGTATGGCCTGTCGAAGGAGCTGCGTAAATTGGGTATTGATTGCTTGGAGATAATCAGAGACAACTTGGGTCCGTACATTGATATAGCCAAGCGGGAAAATCGTTATATTCTCACGCGAGACTCACGTTATAATCTATTCACCGAAATGTTGCCACGTGCGCAATGCCTACAAATTCCTAATGATTCCAGCGTAGAGCAAGTATTAAATATACTTAGACTGTTGGATATTAAAATCTACGATTGTAATCTGTTTACACGCTGCCTAAATTGTAATAGCAATGAGTTCATATTGGCACTGAGGCATGAAATACAAATGATGCGTTATGGGCAAGCTTTAGACGAGGCCAAAAATGCATGTGAACGCAATGTATGGCCATATGAAAAAACATTTCAATTATGTAAGTTTATTATACAGATTATGTAACCTTTGCTTTAAACAATTATATTATATTTTCCTTCATGCCATTACAGTGAACGCCAATAAAGACATATTGAAATCAAAAGCTACTTATCGCGGCAGACCTATCAAGTTGAACCGCATTAAGTCGCACATTTTACGTTCTAAAGAACACTTTTACATATGTGATGTGAGTACATATACATAAATGTAGATGTTATCAACTAATTAATATATATATAATATATACAATATTAAATGCCCTTACAGAACTGTGGTATTTGTACATGGGATGGTGCCCATTCTATACATGGAAGCGTAATGGAAGTGATACTTTTTAATAACTCCGAAACTGCTAGTGCTGCTGGATTTTAAATCTATTCTGCATATACATACACACATACATACATACATACATACATGCATACATATATGCATACATATATTGTATCTATGTACAACACAAATCATTGCGACTGAAATTTTTTGCATTGAGTGGTAATAAGTTAACAATATCAAGCATATACATACATATATACATATATATTTTTTTCAGACTTATGTATGTACATATAAGCATTTGTTTATATAGTTCCATATGTGGACATTTTGTATTTTTGGACTTGAAGAAATTATAATTTTTTCCTTATTTTTATGTTTTAAAAAAGAATTCAAATATAAATATGAGTATACATATACGAGTACATAACTTTATCTATCCATACTTTATTTTATTTTTTTTTTATTTTTTTTTATTTTTTTTATTTTATTTTTTTTTTATTAAATAAGTACAAAACAAACAATATTACAAATAATGAAAGTGAATTAAAAGTACATAAATGAAACGAAATACAAATTAAATATTACATACATACATATATATACAATATAAATGCTAGTATGTACATGCAATATAGAAAAAATAACAATTCAATAGAATGAAGATGTAGTAGTGTGAAATAACCCGAAACCATGTGAATAAATGATTTATCTATTAGATACAGATGTATAAATGAATTTAATAAAAATAAAACTTATACTAGAAGAATTTGGTTTATTCATAATTATTATTGAGGAAATATTATATAAAGATGCATATTTATAGGTTAGAAAGTTTAGGGTTAGGTTGAGCTTGCTGACCCATTGGGTTATACATAGGAGATAATACCTGCATAGTGTTGCCAGACACACTTAATGTGACGCAAGTTGCGCTGCTACACTCCTACTGTGTCTCCGGAGTGGAGAATATTGCTGTGCTTTTCGCTAATTGAAGTTGTTGCTGTTGTTGTAGCGGCTTTACCAATCCCACTTAGGGACAGGCTAGTTAATTCAAGTCACCGAGGTCATCTAACGGGAGGTCCATTAAGTGAACTATTTCAAAGCGTTCGAACCAAACGGTGGGGTTAGGGGTTTGTTATGTAGGGTTTAAGGGAACCCACAAAGACGTGGTTAGTGTCGTGCGGAAACTCGTTACATGCAGGAAATACGTTGGGTATGTCGAGTTCAAATCTCGATAGGTAGGAGTTTAACCTGCTGGAAAAACCAGATTTAAGTTACGCTAGTGTTACGCGGTACTCTCTTCATCTGCTATCGGTATTTGTTTGACTCCTAGAAAGCCATATACTGGAAGAGAGTGCCATAAGATGTTAACGGACTGCCGGTGAATGGCGTTTAATGCTCAACGGTAAGCCGTCCTATCCAGCGGTTCTTGTAAGTGTCGCTGAGTGCAATCCCTATGTCGAGTACTTTCTTTATGGTGTGCCGAGGTGATCGTTCGGCTGCTAGTAAGTGTCTGTGCACATGTGCAAGTGTTGATGTTGTTGTTGTTGTTGTTGTAACCGCAAAATTATTCCCCAAAGTACTTTTTGGGGAATGTTGCGGCAGTGACAGTCCTTGGCCCGATAAAAATCCGGGTCGTTCCGGTATAAAGACCCGACAGTCGCGGGAACTATTGGATTTTAGTCGCCTCTTACGACGGGCATGCCTTAGCGCGGGTAAATTCTTGAGCCACTAACCCGCAGGGGGTGCAAGTGTTGCTCTGGCGATATTAGAGGTTTCTTGTCTTTCTGATGATATTAGTCATACGTCACTATAAAGCAGATCGAATCACATCGGATTTTTACACAACTCATTGAGTTCACACAATAATTCTCAAAGCTAAGCATCTACGAAAATGAATAAACATGAAATTAAGTATTCTGTTTACTCTCTATCAAAAGGCCAGTGCATATCAGTTGAGTTTTCCCCGTTCAGGCTTCATTCCTCTGAGTAGAATTGATAATTCTGTGGCAACGCCCTGTTCTAGAAAGACTCCATTTTGAGTTGATTCCTTTGCCAACTCGGTGTCTTCGATACCCATTCCGCCTGTATCACAATAGAGGTGAACCCCACAATCGTCCTCGAAGATACAGCAGCAGATTGGTAGCCAGAAATAATTTCTATATCCCATTGGGCGCAGTAAATTGCTGGCTTCACACCGTTGTTTCCTTTCGAGTTATCTGTAAATATATGCAAAGCTTTGTCTGGGGGCTTTTGCTGCAACTATTTGGCTCTATTTTAGCTGCCGCAAGCTTCCCCAAAGCTAGACGCTGGCCCATGAAGTCTGTAGGTATTTTGAATGCCAATGCTGTACTACTGTGCACGTACGCCTGGACTCTCAGCCTATTTGAGACATGTAGTCAAGTGGCAGTCAGGATTACCTTGATTTTTTTATCAACCAGATTTGTCGGTTCTATATTCAAGATCGTATGAAGCTCGACCGATGGTGTTTATTTGTTTTTAAGCTGCGGTGACGCTGAGTATCGAGAATCTATATACTCAATTTAAGTTTTCCAGATATGCAGCTATCTTTTCTGCAGCCCTCTACCATACTCAAACACCATAGAAAAGTAATTGCTCAACAATCGCAAGGAAGATCCATTGGAAAAGAGTTGGTGATAGTTTCCAGCTGCAACCCGACATCATTATATATGTTTAAAGAGCTGTTGATGTCTTTTTCATTCAGTCCTCCATATTGGGCTACCACGACAGCTTGATATCCAAAACTATTCCAAAGCATTTAGTGCTTAGTTTCGGCTGTAGAGTGAACTCAATAATCCAATTTGGAATTTTTTACTCTCTTGTATATGGAACTAGGCCTGTCGTAACAATGTTGATGCCAAGTCCCACGGAGTTAGCCCAGTTTTATTTTTATCATGCTGAGGGTCTGATTCGCCAGAGAGCCCAGAGTGGCCAAACCCAACCCAACATCCTTTTATATGTTTAAAGAGCTGTTGATGCCGTTTTCATTTGGTCCCAAACAGTAGGCCTCCCCGACAGTTTGAAGTTGTCTTTGGTTTGATCCAATTTGGAATTTTTTACTTACTTGTAAATTGGACTAGGCCTGTCTTAACAAGCTGATGCTAAATCCCACGGAATTAGCCCAGTCTTTTTTTCTGTTTCGCCACAGAGCCAAGAGTTTCCAAACACTTCTCGCTTACAATACACGAAATGCCATCTAACATGACCACGACTCACTCCGAGGTTCATGTGCAATCCCCCGGCCTGCGAGTACATCTCGGGTTAATGCCTCTAAACCTTATTGCGCTTGAATTTTTCTGCGACTTAGCAACTTCCCAAAGGCCAGAGTTGACTCCAATCGATTCTTATTCTTCCATAAAGGCTTATTTACAGACGTTATTAAACGTTCCAGATATATCCGGAACACTTTGTTGAGCCATGCTGCGCTTTCGAAACGAGTTTCTCATTCAAATTTTTTGCTTACTGGTCACGAAACCGTTACATTTTCTTTCTACCCTTACCGGATGTGAGTATCGAAATTTGCCATTAAGCAAGCATTGAACTATTTATTATTATTCAATTGCGTTAATCTGCTGAGTCACTTCCGGGAAATCGAAATCTTAGTTTCAAAATGCCAACGCACTTCAGCGTACGCTTTATATGCGTTAACTTACCTTTCATAATAAGGGCGTTTGGAAAATGTTCGAAAACCCGTACAGTGGTGTCTTATACATATAGATATGACTCTTAATTATATAATAATTTTTAAAATTTTATTTCAGCTGATTTTCGACCAAATTTTGACGGTATCTTAACCATAATCTGACGTATGTTGGTTTTAAAGTGCTCACATAAACACGATCGTTCGTGTAGCGCCACAACAAAAAAGGCTAACGGTGTCAAATCGTACGATCTTGGTGGTCAATAGACATCGCCAAGGCGAGAGATTACGCAACCTGGAAATTTCACTGGCAATAAGCTATATTCACTCGTGTTGTGTGGCTCCGTATCGCTATTGTTAAAACCATCTACTGTCCAAGTTTAATGGCAGACCAATAAAAGTCGGTTTCCATATGACTATAAAGATCCGAATTGACAGTGACTAGAGTCTCGCCATCTCCGATCCAAAAGGCGCACCAGACAATAAGTTCTTTTTTGGATATAATCTCTTCAATTATCTATGGATTATTTATGGATTCTCGGAGCGAAAAATTCAACGGGTTGGCTTATTTACGTATCCTTGGAGTGATAAATGTGGCTCGTGGCTTGTTGTTGAAGCACCCGAATCGTCGTATATACAGCTTGAGCATGGTCAGTTGGCTTCAGTTGTTGTGTAAGCTTGACTTTTTGTGGATGTCGGCGCAAGTCCAAGTACAAAGTACGCCATAATATGCAGTAAGAAGGTCCCAGCTCTTGAGAACTGCAGAAAATAGATACAATCCGGTCTTCGGTTAAACTTTCACTTATGGGCAGCGATATTTGAGGAATGGGAACGAGTAAAATGATGTTGCGCGGGCCTTGCAATAACCGTATCCGATTCAATGTTTTGAAATTTTTAAAAAATTTTTCCAATTGCTTGAGTAATTGGATGACTTATGCTCCTCACTACAATCTCCTCTTAAAGCCCGAAAAGTGCCGGAGACAAAGCAGTATACGTAGGTACATATATATAAGTATTTTCTTAGCACATCACTTGCACTTTTTATGCCCACCACTGTAGCTATAAATAAATATATTTAAAAGCGTAAAACATTTTATTGACCGCCTTTCGATCGAATGCAAATTTCTATCGCCAAATACTGCTTCCGCCGCGCGAACTAAAAACAATGAAATGAAAACGACGAAAATCATTTTAAAAATTTTACTTTGTTGTTGTTTTGTTAATAAATTTGTGCTAGCTTTAGTTAACAAACTTACCTGGGTTAGCATTTGTTAGACAGACTGGCAACGAGAACGACTTGCAATCACGTTCCGAAAACTACGGTATTCAAAATGTCTCGAAATATGTCGCGTGATTTTGATGAAGCGGGAATTAGCCATGGGTACACACATATACATATACATATGTATGAATGTATATGTGTGTATTTATGTATGCCAAATATATTTTTCAATTATTGCGCAACAAAAAAAAATTTATAATTAAACAGGGAAAAATCAAATTCGATCACAGTTGCGCGGAACGCGTCGAGGTGAATACGCGGAAAAGTGGTGGTTAAATATACTCAGGTGGGGAAACACGGTGATTATTGCAACTAAGAAAATTCATAAATAAATCTGTGAACTGTGCTTAGTGTCCTTGGGAAGAAAAAATGAAGTGCAATACTTAAAGGATAATTGACAATGAGATATCCTTTGAAGTGAAAAGTGTGAGAGAAAAATTCAAATCGCTAAAATCACATCACAACTAATGCATTCTTTTTTTAATATTTAAAAGAGTGTTTTTATTTAAAAAATTATGTGATTTATATGAAGGCAAACGTGAATAAATTTTAATTCAAATTTCTATGGAAAGCGGCAATAATTTAAAAGAAAATAAAACTAAATGAAAACAAAAACAAAATAATATTAAAAAAAATAAATAAAAAATATTCATTAAATTAACTAAAAAAAAAATAAAAGCACCGGTATTTAAAATTAATAACAATTAAAACAGCAACAACAATTAAAATTGAAATGTTAAACTCATAAAAAAAATTGTAAACTCAAAATTAAAACAAAAGATTTCTTCGGACATGCCGCCGTCCATGTGAGAGGCATTAATAATTAACATAAAATTAGTTAAAAATCAGAAATTTAACAAAGTGTAGTGAACAAATAAAATTAATTTTTATAAATATATGAACACATATGTAGCTTAAGAAGTGGTGTAAAGAAATATTAGATTTAAATATCAATTGAAAAGATAGCAAAAAATATATTTTCATTCTATTTAAAGTAAAAGCAAAAAAAAAAATAATAATTACACCGTTAGTGACAAATTAGACTATACGAACTTTTGTTAAATATGTTTTGCTAGAAAGTAAATATATATTTGTAAATAATTGGTGCTTTATAGCCACTGAAGCGATTTTCGGCCGAGCTCTCCGCCTATCTGTGGTTTTGCGCCTTGATGTTTTTCTAACAAATATATTTGTGCGTAGAACAAAGTGGAAATCAAATTATGCTTGAATGAATAGATAAATAAATAACAGAAAAAATAAAATAAATAAAAAAATAAATAAAAATTAATAAATAAACAAATAAATAAATAAACAAATAAATAAATATAAATAGATAAATAAAGAAAAAAAAATAAAAAAAAATAAACAAATAAATAAATAAATAAATAAATTAACAAATATATAAATAAAAAAAAAAAATAAATAAATAATTAAATAAATAAATAAATAAACAAATAAATAAATAAATAAATAAATGAATAAATAATAAAATAAGTAAATAAATAAATAAATTAATTAATATGAATATATAAAAAAGAAGAAACTAAAGAAAACAAAAAAAGTTAAATAAATAAAAAATATTTAAATACAAAATTTAATAACTAAATAAATACACGCAAATATTAATAAGTAAATAAAAAATAATAAAAGATAAAGAAAAAATAGATAACTAAAATAAATATATATATAAATATATAAAGAAATCTTAGATAAATAAAAAAATTAATAAATATAAATAAATAAAAGAATAAGAAAAATTAGCAAAACAATAGAATAAATTAAAAAAAAATCAAATACAAAATTTAATAAATAAATAAATACACACAAAAATTAATGAAAAAAATAAAAATAATAATAAAAGATTTTTATAAAAAATAATGAAATGATAAAGAAGCAAACAAATGCATAAATAAAATAAATAAATATATAAAAAAATTAATAAAAATTAAATAAGAAAATAAATAGATAAATAAAGTAAGCAATTATCTAAATATATAAATAAAAAGTAAATAAGGAAATAAAAATTAAGAAAAAGCGAATTAAATAAATAAATAAATATAGAAAACATAAAGCAAAAAAAAAATAAATAAAAACTTATAATTAAAGAAAAGAATAAATAAATAAAACAAAATAAATTACTAAGTAAAGAAGCAAAAAAAAAAACAAAAAACAATAATTGAATAAAAAAAAATTAAGCAAAATAAAATAAAATGAAAAACACCGAAAAAAATAAAGTAAAATAAAATAACACAAAATCCAATAAAATAAAATATAATAAATCAATTTAAATATAAAAAAATAATATAGAATTAAATAAAATAAATAAAAATAAAATACATTAAAGTAAAATTAAAAATTAAATAAAATGCAAAAAAAAGTAAATAATATAATATATAATAATATAAAATAAAAAAAAAAATAAAATATAATATAATAAAAAGAATAAAAATATTAATATAATATAAAATAAGTTCAAATAAAAAGAAATAAAATAAAGTAAATTAAAATAAAATAAAATAAAATAAAATAAAATAAAATAAAATAAAATAAAATAAAATAAAATAAAATAAAATAAAATAAAATAAAATAAAATAAAATAAAATAAAATAAAATAAAATAAAATAAAATAAAATAAAATAAGAAAATAAAAAAGATAAAATAAAATAAAATAAGAAAAAAAAATTAAATAAAATAAAAAAGAAAAATATAAAATAAAATAAAATAAAATAAATTAAATATGATACATTGTTAATTTTTTTTTTGCTAACTAGTTTTGTGTTTCTTTCAATGAAAAAACATGCATCCAGACGCTTTAGACACTGCTTGTTAAAAAAAATTTATTTTCAGATAACCTCAAACGTCTGGCTCAGCAAAAGGCCTACAGAACACACGTAATCCAATCCAAAACAATAAATTGAGCTTTGCATTTCCTATTCACAATACATAAAATAATAAGAACACCAGAGAAAGACAATCAATTGGCAAGGCAAATTAAGTCTAATGAGAGTGTATGAGAAGAAGTCTTTCTATGAAAATATATTAAAACACAATGCGAAAAAATATATTCCTTATTTCTCTAATAATCGCTCTTGGCAGCGGCATGCCAGTCAACAAGACCGTTGTCCTACGCAGCGGTCTTGGTGGTTTTAAGTTCATCATACAGTTTCGTACGATTTGTAAAAATCACACAACTGAATCACCGAACTTTTCAACCGACATCGCATACGAAGACGGAACATCAACAAACTTGCCATTTACTACAGAAAATCCGTTATACTACACAGAGATTACATCAACATCAACAGAAGACGCAAACTTTTATCTCTCTCAAGCCTACTCAAATCAAAAATATCCGCTTGACGCCACCACGTTTGCAATAACTGATCCGAATATAGCTAGTACCACAACGCAAATAACCAGCACAAGCACGGAGCAGTCTTTTGATAAATACGATAAGTCTACACTAGAGAGTGGATCACTGATAGTGGCGGCCAACTCCATTAAAGAGACTTTGTCAACAAAATCGCAGTCAACAATAGCCACAAGCCAATATGGTAGCACTCCAGACCCAACGACGCCTGAGTCACACAGAGGAGGGGGTACAATGATAGCAAATTCATTAAGCGACGACTTCTCAAAAGTCCTAACATCCATCTCAACTTCTTCTAAGATGGATTCGGTACCTACGGAAGAAAGTCCGACACCTCAAGATTCGTCCAGCTTTTCTGAAGATGTTACGTCCTCTACATATGACTCATCTAAGACAACCGGCTCTACTGTGGATGTTAAATCCTCTACAGATGACACATCTACCACTTCTGAAGATTCGTCCAGCTCTTCTGCAGATGTTACGTCCTCTACAGATGACCCACTTACGACACCCGATGTTTCTTCCAGCTCTACTGCGGATGTTACATCCACTGCAGATAACACAGATACTACTTCTGAAGATTCTTCCAGCTCTTCCGCGGATGTTACAGCCTCTACGGATGACACATCTACTAATTTCGCAGAATCTTCCAGCTCTACTGCGGATGTTACAGCCTCTACAGATGACACATCTGTCACTCCTGAAGATTCATCCAGCTCTACTGCGGATGTTACATCCTCTACAGACGACACATCCGTCACTCCCGAAGATTCGTCCAGATCTACCGCAGATGTTACATCTTCTACAGATGACACATCCGTCACTCCTGAAGATTCTTCCAGCTCTACTGCAGATGTTACGTCCTCTACAGATGACCCACTTACGACACCCGAAGATTCTTCCAGCTCTACCGCGGATGTTACAACCTCTACAGATGACACATCCGTCACTCCTGAAGATTCTTCCAGCTCTGCAGCGGATGTTACATCCTCTACTGATGACGCATCTACTACTTCTGCAGATTCTGCCAGCTCTACTGCAGTTGTTACGTCCTCTACAGATGACCCACTTACGACACCCGAAGATTCTTCCAGCTCAACCGCGGATGTTACAACCTCTACAGATGACACATCCGTCACTCCTGAAGATTTTTCCAGCTCTGCAGCGGATGTTACATCCTTTACTGATGACGCATCTACTACTTCTGAAGATTCTTCCAGCTCTACTGCAGATGTTACGTCCTCTACAGATGATCCACTTACGACACCCGAAGATTCTTCCAGCTCTACCGCTGATGTTACACCCTCTACAGATGAAACATCCATCACTCCTGAAGATTCTTCCAGCTCTACCGTGGATGTTACATCCTTTACTGATCACGCATCTACTACTTCTGAAGATTCTTCCAGATCTACTGCAGATGTTACGTCCTCTACAGATGACACATCCGTCACTCCTGAAGATTCGTCCAGCTCTACAGCGGAGGTTACATCCTCTACTGATGACGCATCTACTACTTCTGAAGATTCTTCCAGCTCTACCTCGGATGTTACATCCTCTTCTGAAGATTCTTCCAGCTCTACCGCGGATGTTACATCCTCTACTGATGACACAGCTACTACTTCTGAAGATTCTGCCAGCTCTACTGCAGATGTTACGTCCTCTACAGATGACCCACTTACGACACCCGAAGATTCTTCCAGCTCTACCGCGGATGTTACATCCTCTGCTGATGACCCACTTACGACACCCGAAGATTCTTCCAACTCTACTGCGGATATTACATCCTCTACAGATGACGCATCTACTACTTATGAAGATTTTTCCAGCTCAACTGCAGATGTTACATCCTTTACTGATGACACATCTACTACTTCTGAAGATTCTTTCAGCTCTGCTGCGGATATTACATCCTCTACAGATGGCCCATCTGTGACTCCTGATGGTTCTTCGAGCTCTACTGCAGGTGTTACAATGTCTACGATGGGCGTGGGAACAACAGAGGAAAGTTCTACAACTCAAAATTCGTCCAGCTCATTTTCGGTCGTTACTTATTCTACGAATGACTCTTCTACGTCGAGTGTGGTAACCTCAGAAGAGAGTACAAAAGTTTATGATTTAAATGCGCCGACAACGTCAACACCAGAAGGTAGTAGGTATTTAGTAGTACTCGAGAAATATTTAATGACTCTTATGTTACAGAAGCCACAACTATGGAGGAAACTAATTTGAGTTCAACTACGGCGTTACACACCACCGATATTTACGGAGACACTGTGCCCGCTAAGTCCTTAGTGTATACAACGGCTACCGAGCCGACTTCGTTAACATACCCAACGTATCCGCGGGAAATGGCAACTGAAACAGGGCCCTTGTTAGGTGCGTTTGCAAGCGTCCTAGAAAGTTCCACAGCAGAACCAAGTGTGGAAACAGAAACCGCTAGCGAAGAGAGCACTTCCACAGAACTCTCTTCCAGCGCAACTTATAAGTCGGTGTTGCGCGGTAAGAATTGTGATATTTTTGTACATTTGACAGTTTTGAAATAATATAACGGTTAATGTATACAACTAAATATTATATATATCGCAAATTCTATACCTAAAAGTATGGTATTTTGATACTGTGATCAATAAGTAATTATTTACTCATAGAATATATATAAGGAATATGTCAGCTGTGACTTATCTACGTTGATAAATGTGTATGTATGTATATAAGTAAAAATTTATTCGAAAATATATGATAAAAATTAAAAAAAAAAAAATTGTTGAGAAAAATATTGAATACTTTGTGAAAGTTAGAGCTGCGCAAATATTTTAGGCAAATTGGGAGCCTGGAGCTCCTAAATTTTAAACTCTTAAGCCGCAGCGAAGCAGTAAATTGATTGACAGCTGACAACGCTGCCTGCCCTTCGCTTAAGCCAACAGAGGAAGCCTGGAGCTCTCAACTGATAGGAACAGTTGGTCAAGCAGCTGGTTGATTTCAATGTGTTCTACGCCGAAATCTTCACTAACACAAGCAAGCAGCTAAAAACACTTTGACTAGGAATACTGTTTTCCGAAATGAGGGCGGATAAAAGCAGACAGAGCATGTTCAATCCATGAAAATACCGTAGAATAAGCTTCCCTCAGCTTGGTGGCCGCGGTAGTCGAGTGGTTAGCATTGCGTAGTGACATTAGCAAGGCTCGGACTTAAATCCCGGTGCCACCGACTTCCAAAAAGTTATTGAAAATTAATTTAAATAAAAAAAAAAAAACAAATTAAATTTTCTATCTGTGGTTGCCCCTCGGCAGGGAATGTCCACCCCTCTGAGTGTATTTTGGACATGAAAAAAAGGCTCCTCATAAAAAAACCATCAGCCGTTTGGAGACCGCCTAGTATAAGCTGTAGGTCCCTCAATTTGTTGGAAAAACATTAAGACGCTAGAACCACTTTAATTTCTCGGGCCAAGAACAAATCTGGTTTTTCTTCTAAGGTTGTAAAAACACGTACCAAGCGGTCCCTTTGAGTTCCTAATGTTCCCCAACCGCTAAACGAACCAGTACGTAGAGTTTGCAAAGCTGCTCAGACACCACATCTTGGCTCCCGCTTTCTCGTTCAGATCTCCAAAGTTTGCGGCCCCTAGAAACTTCGATCTACTACTCCAAAGTGTCGTACTTTTCTCGTCTGCAACTTCTGCAGTAATCGTTAGTTGGTACGCGCAACCTCTCTGCGTGCCTGTTCACATCAAATATTTATGTCCTGTAAGTAGACCTATAAATGTAGACATGTGTTTTCTTTTTAGCTCGATAAGGTTACATGACCTTCTTCCGTTCCATGACCAGAATGGAATAGTCTTTATTATCTTAAATGTTAGAATAAATGACAAATTCGTTTAAACTCTGTATTCATTAGGGTTGAAATCCTCTTTGGATGAACATAAGAATGGATAGATTGGATTCATGCCAGTTCTGCAGTGCGAGCCCGGATAAGCGCCTGCACGGAATATCGGTTTGTAACAGAATAAACGACGCGCATAATTGCAGGTGAAGAGCACATTAAAACCATGCTCCGTTTCGTAGAGAGAGGCAGCGCAGCCAACACGATTATTACGATCCATAACCATTTTGCCAAAATGTAAAATCAATTCGCTAAAAATGGAGAAGTTCTTTCATCAGAGACATACAACTAAATACAACTCAAAATGCCACATGCACTTACAACTGTGGTGGATGATAGGAATCGATTTCCTTTTGCGTACAATGCTTGTACTGCTCATACCAATACACTCTTATGTGTTCCTTGATGTCATTATAAATGTTTGTACGATTGAATCTCGATTTCGTATAGAATAGCCAACCGATATTCTGATCGAGCGTATTGTACCGTGCTGTTGTGAAACATTTCTGATCCTCATAAATAATGCCACATTGCTTCACATTGAATTCGGCAAAATACGATAGCTCATCATCCCACTCGAGTGTGGCCATAGCAGCAGCCGGTTCGAATACCAAACCCTTGGCAATTTCATTACGATACATATTATGTTCGCCCAGGAAGAGTTTCTTAAATTCCGCCGTAATGGGCAACAATTCGGCATTGGGTGGGCAGCGCTTGTCGAAGGCCTAGTCGGAAAGGAAATAAAAACAGCAATAATAACGCAGATTTGTTGCTTTTTCCTCAATTCTTCACTCACTCCAGTGTGATTGCAAGCCAAAACATGACTTTCTCTGCGACCACTACACATATAGGCCGGACTACAGTAGTCCACATCAGCAAGACCGGCTTCGACAACAGCCGCAACTGTGTACAGCAAACCCAAAACGCCGTAGTACGTTAGTAGCATTTCACTTTCGAATATTAACTCACTAGATTAAACTCGAAATGGTTTTGTGCCTGTGCCAAAATTTCTATGTGCTTTATATACTCGAAGTTGGCACAACAGTTTTAGTTGCTTAGAGAAAATTCCCCCCAGCATATGCATATATTCTAAGTATATTTCGTTAGCAAATAGATAACAGCTGAATTTGTACTTTACTTTATTGCTATTTAGTTATCTTCAAACAGTATAATATTCTACATAATATTCTGCGGCCGCTGTAGCTGAGTGGTTAGCATTGCGTACTGCCATTCGGAAGGCTCGGGTTCAAATACACGTGCGTCCATACATCGAAAAGTTATTGAAAATTAATTTTAAATAAAAATTTTAGTTATAAATGGCGTTCCCCCCCCGCGGCAGGGAATGTCCACCTTTCCGTGTGTATCTCGGACATGAAATAAAGGCTCCTCAAGAAAAAGAAACCATCAGCCGTTCGATGGCCGCCTAGCATAAGCTGTAGGTCCCTGCATTTGTTGGAAAAATATCCAGACCCAATAACCACAAATTGGAGGAGGAGCGCGGCCGAAAAGCGCCAATTATATATATATATATATATATTCTGTAAATAAAGAATAATGTGACGCATGCAGCTTTGAACAGGTGTATGTGATGTGTAGGTTCTTCTGAAAACTTTAAGACAACATTATTTATTTAAAGCTTTCGTATGACAGGCATACGCTTTCTCTGGGGGGCTCTCTAGTTAGATAACAGCATTCCATCTGGAAGTTATTCTACAATAGTTTTTTGCTCCCCTAGGGAGCGGATAAGGCGTTTTAATGGTGTTTTGGTTTTATAATCGCCCAGCCATGGCGGGACTAGAAGCTGTAAATTTTCTCCGCTCACTAAAATATGGTAACCTTGTAGTATGCCCTGCATGCCTTTAACCTTTGGTTTTTGTTATTATTTGTGAATATAATCAGAAAGTTTCCGGAAATTGTCATTTAAACTGTCCGCGCTGAATATTTGTCAGCACATTTTTTTTGTTAAGTTGGTAGCGCCGTCCTTAATTACTATGCGAAAAAAAAGGGCGCGATCTGTCAGTCAGTTTCTTTGCATCAACTGTTGAAGTCTGTCGACCTCAGTTCTCGCTGCAAATTTTCTTTTACGGTCTCAATCGAGTCGGAACGGGCTGCGCGCAGTGGTAACTTGAGTTTTGGGAAAAAAATCCGGTAAAGACCGTATTTGATTGATGGTATTGAACGAGATTTTGGTTTTATAATCTTGCACAACTACAGCTCGGTGCGATGGCACGTTGTCGTCTTGAAAAATCCATGAATTTTGGCTCATAATTCCGACCGTTTACGATGTTGTTTTCGATAATAAAAACTCTTTATTGACCATCTGTCCCGTTGGAATGAAAAAACGATGTCCGAAAACTTTCTGGTGTTCCAAACCACATTCACTGCTTTAACGAACCCCCAAACGATCACGAAGAATAGAATAGAATATCTGTTCTATTGTGTCCAAAGAGCAATAGCGGGGAAGAACTGATCAGGAGAAAACTGCGAAAATTTAGCCGTGGTAAGGCATATAGCTGTCGTAAGAGGCAACTAAAATCTAGTAGTTTCTGCTTCAGTCGGGTCTTTATAGCGGACCGACCCCGATTTTTATCCGGCTAAGGACTGTCACTTCCGGAATATTCTCTAAAAACCAATTCGCAATATTTTTTGAGGCTACTAGAACAACGACAATAATTGCTAATGGACATACATCAGCTGCTTTACAAAGTTTTGTACAGTATGAGTTTGACCACTAAATCAGCAGTCTTCACAATCGTCATGGTATAAGCTTCAATATTACTACTCAACAAACAAATGGTCACCGACACTTTTTCAATGAATCGACCGTCCACATCATGTGCAAAAGCGGTCTTCGACATCACGAAAAGAAGCTGCTTTTACAGCACTATATTGGATTTAAGTGTCTCTGCAAAAGTATATGCGGCTGTGTAAAGTGACACTGATACACTGAGGAGGAGTTTAGCTTAAAAGCTCGAGGGTAATGAATCGCTCATGCAGCTGGAGTAGGTCATATTGTACTCGTATCTAGGGCATTTCACTAGCCCTATCGCAATCGATCTCCGCTGTGATGCTCTGGTATGGTGGAAGGCTGTGGGTCTTTAGACTATCGACCGGGCACTGTCTTATTGGGTGGGAGTCATGGTAGAAGCAGGGAATGCTTCTCAAACGACTTCTGCCACAGCTGTAAAGACTTAGATGAAGAGGAATCAATGAAATACTACCTCTTTTACTGCCTAGCTCACAGTGCGGTGTGTTATCGTTTTCACGCAAATTTTTACTGCGATTGTCTCGCAGAGCTTGCATCGGTAGGCGTCATTAATCTCCAGAATTTCATAAAATATAGAAAAATGGTTTGTGCATTTGGAAAGGTGAAGGGAATCGCTTTAGCAGAACCAACATAGACATCACAGTAGGCCTAAGTGCGCTTTATCGGGATCTAGAAAGAATCACAGAGGAGAAATTTTTTCCTACGTTTAACGGTCTTATCTCAGTTAAATACTTCAATCTGATGTTGTTTGCCTTTTGCTGTAATTTTCATTGAATTTAATTAACAACCATAAACGTTGGGTTCATTTAATTCTTGTCACTCAATTCTTCTGTTGATCTATCATTATCTGTCGCTTTAAAATATTTGATTTGTAAATATTTCAGTAATTTCACCGAAACAATTATTATCTGATTAAAACAACAAAATATTAATTTAGTGGTTTGCAACATTTAACGATGATGAAAATAAGGTTGACGACTTTTAAATTGATTAAGTGTGTGTATTACGGTGCACGTTGTAGACTTTTCCCCACATAGGTAACATACGAGGGTCGGCTGACTTTTTCACTACCTAAGGTAGTTAGACATTACACATCATCTCGTTGATGATAATACCAACGGCGGCGCTCATTATTAGTATAAATAACAATATAATTTTTTTGGATTTATTGACATTTCCTTCCTGGAACAAGCAACAATACCAATGTCAATAGAAAGTGGAAGTTCTCGCAATTGAGTACGTCGAAAGAAATTTTTGAAGAGATGTTAACGGTTCTACCTGGCTCTACCCTGTTGTTGTTGTTGTTGTTGTTGTTGTAACCGCGAAAAAAATTCCCCAAAGTACTTTTTGGTAACCCTATTGCCGGAGTGACAGTCCTTGGCCGAATATTAATCCGAGTCGTTCCGGTATAGAGACCCGACTGTCGCCGGAACTATTGGAATTTAGTCGCCTCTTGCGACAGGCATGCCTTATCGCGTGTAAATTCTTGAACCCATAACTCGCAGGGTTAGCTCTACCGTGTAAAATACGTTGGTGAAAAAATTGGCTCGGTTGTTTCAACAAGGTAGAGAGTGCGGGAGTCACCCAGTGTTAGCTGCGACCGTTGAAAATGTTCTGAAAGTCGAAAAATTACTACTGGCTGATCGAAGAATTGAATTTTCGCAGATAGCAGAAGGATGACAGATTAGCAAAGTAGAAGCTGGAGAGATTTTGAATGAACATTTAAATATGAAAAAAAAAATGAGTGCGCGTTGCGTACCGCGAATGCTCACGGGGCTCGACAAGCAGCGACCATTGAAGAGTTGTAAAGCTCTTTTGGAGTTTTCTCAAGATGATTTGATGAAACTTTTATTTGTCAGTATGAACCCGAGTCCACATAGAAGTCGTTGCAGTGCATCAGAAGTCGTTGCAGTGCATAAAAAAGGAGATAAGCAGCCACAGAAATTCAAAGTAGAAAAATCGGCGTAATCTTCGACGGCTATCATTTTTTGGAATAGCGTGGGCATATTATTAATTGATTACTTGCCAAAGGGAACTACAGCGAATGGCTAGTATTACGCTAATTTGCTGAATCAGGCGCCTGAGGCAGTCGTATGAAGAGACGTGGCAAGTTAGCGTGCGGAGTGCTGGTTCTGCAAGTTAACGCATCCATCCACACCGCTCGCGTTGCGAAAGATGCCTTAATACTGGATTTACAGAAACTGATATTTCATCGTGAATTGGCTCCCCGTGATTTTTTTTCATATTTAAAAAAGCAGTTACGGGAAGGAAGATTTTCGGACGACAGTAAGATGAAATCGGAGGTAGAAAACCATTTTGAAGAGAAATCTAAAGAATATTTTTTCAGTGATTTAACGGTATTGCATACACGCTGTGAAAAGTGTATTTCACTTGTGGGAGACTTTATTGAAAAATAAAATTGAAAAACATAAAACTTTATTGTTGCTCTTTCATTAAGTTATTTAGGTCTCTCGAAGTTATCAGCCGCCCCTCGTTTATCTGTTATCTTTCTTTGTGCGAAGGAAAAAATTATAAATTTAGCTAATTGGTTAAAAATAACTTTGACATTATATACATATATACATATATACACATATGTACACTCAAAAATGGTTTTAAGGTGCTCTTACTGTCAGTGGCACTTAACTTTATGAGTATTTCGAGTGTTTCACCGTCAGTTGGAATGCATTGATTGGGGCTGCATTGAATTTCATTTATGTTATCTAAAATTTAAGCTGTTTATTGACCGTAAATATAAAAAAAATGTTTTAATTATAACTTTGTCAGTCAAATATTTCCGTAAAGGCCATAGACGACAGGCTCATCATTTCAGTGCGAGTTGGTATACACATTTGTCTGTAAGAATAGATTTTGCGGCGACATCAACATAGTGGCGACTCCATTTCAAGTTACCGAATACCGTTTAAAAATCGACGAATTGATGGTTTGTGTCAAAACTTTTCTCGCGGCTCTTCAACCGGATTTGGGACACGGTGAATGTCTGGTCTGTAGTAAATCTAAAGGCAACGTGATAAGGCCCGTACAGCTCGCTGGAGATTTGTCAAAGTGCAATCTCACGTCATGTCAAATATAAAACAAACCCATTAACAACAAGAAAGAAGAGCTGCATTTTTTAAGGAGGTTTGACCAAAGCTTCATATATTAAAAGAACGTTGCATGGGAGCTATATGTTATGGTGGTGCTACATAAGTTAGCTGCGATCAGCACGGCCACTTAAGATAGGCGAACGAGCACTGCGGACCCACGGCAGACCACTAGTATACGACGGTTTATACGAGGTGTGTTCAAAAAATATCACGAATTTTGTGTTTTTTCAAAAATTATTTATTTATTCATGAATATCTATTTTGTCCCCTTCAAAGTAATGCCCATATACACTTCTGCCAAGCCAACGGTTTTTCCAATCTTCGAAGCACTTCAAAAAATCATTTTTTTTTCTTGTTCAGCTCCTCCTCCGATGCCGTCTTTATCGCGGCAATGGTAGCGTAACGTCTTCCTTTCATGAGCCTCTTCAGTTTAGGGAACAAGTCACAGGGGGCCAGATCTGGGGAATACGGTGGCTGCGGCATCATTAATGTGTTGTTTTTGGCCAAAAAGTCGCGCACAAGCCACGATGTGTGAGCAGGGACGTTATCGTGGTGCAAAAGCCAAATTTTGTACTTCCACAAATCCGGGCGTTTCTGGCGGATTGCTTCGCGCAAATTGCGCATAACCTGCAGGTAATATTCCTTATTGACCGTTCTACCCTGTGGCAAGAACTCATGATGCACCACGCCCCTGCAATTAATCTTTTCGTCTGTTGTTGAAGTGCTCGGGCGTCCGGCACGCTCTTCGTCGTTCACATCTTCTCGGCCTTCTGAGAACATCTTGTACCACCGATAAACGTTGCTTCGGTCCAAGGTAGTTTCTCCGTATGCCACAGTCAACATTCGGAATGCATCCGCGCACTTAATTTCGTTTTTCACGCAAAATTTTATACAGGTTCTTTGATCCATTTTTTTGAAAAGGTAAGAACCGAAGACCATCCAAAACACCTGCAAGCAAAGCAACTGTCAACAATTAAGTGAACATTCAAAAGGGCCGAGCTTGTCGGGGCATAAGTGACAAACATGAGTACCAACATAACGCCACAAAAAAAAAATGGAAATGCGATTATACGTAACCCGCGAAAATTCAAAATTTGCGATACTTTTTGAACACACCTCGTAGAAAGAATAGAGATTTTAACTGACAGTTAGCTTCCAAGTATACAAAATCCATATTTAGGGTCATTGAACTTTTGCCATTCTGAAGGTGATGTCATTATGCCTCTCTTATAGAAATTGTGACCATCGATTTTTACAATTCTCCGAAGATAGTATTGCCTCATTCCAAACCACACATCTATAAAACATCTATGAAAAAGCATCCTATGAAAAATATTTATTTTCTATTCAAATACATCTATTATATAATTTTTTTTATTTCTGTGCAAAAGCTAACACTTAAAACTATCGTTGCCTATAAATACATATATGCATATAACTGTAATAAAATTTTAAAACAATTTAATTTACAAAAGTACTATCCAATTCATTGCCATTATCAATTTCCAAACTCTCCTCGCTGCTATAATCGTAAACCGCATCCTTCCAATCACAGAGCGATGGATATTTTTCACTTATCTTATAGACGCATTTACTCGCCGCTGGTCCACTCTGGTAGACGGGCTCACCCAGTACATTTGTAAAATCATAATTGCAGGTCATTAAAAATTTCATATCGTCAATTTGATTGGGATCCTGATAGTGTACAGCGGCACAGCCAACACGATGCGCACGATCGGCCACTAACATTGTGAAATGACCGATCTTTTTGCTGTAAAAGAAAAAAATAATTCATTAAGTTCGTATGCAAAGAAGTTTTAGGCAGAAAGAATTGTTTGTTTTCGGGAAGATCCACAAGTTTTCGTGGAGTCAGTCCGCTGGAAATGGTTCGCTTTCGCAGCTGGCGGTTTCTGCCAATAATTTCTCAATCAAAGTTTGGAACGATTTGGCGTAGATCATGATAGTGGAAGCAAATGTTTCTAGTTTGGGCCGAGCAGAAGCGACTCTTTATGACTGCCTCTCTACACTTCCTACATTTTTCACTACAGCAGATGACGGCTGCGATAGCCGAGTGGTTGGCATTGCGTACTGCCCCTCGAAAGGCCTGGGCTAAAATCTGATCAACATCCAAAAATTATAGAAAATTAATTTAAATAAAAAAATTATGTTAATTTTTCTAAACGCGGTCGGCCTTCGCTCGGGAATGTCAAGCCTTCTGAGAGTATTTTTGGCATGAAATAAAAGGCTTCTCACGAAAATCCATCAGCCGTTAGGAAGTGGCTTAGAATAAACTTTGGTTCCCTTCAATTAGTTGGAAAAACGTCCACCACAAATTGGAGAATGAGCTCGGCTGAAAGTCGCTCTAGCGGTTACAAAGCACCAGTTATACATACATATGTGTATATATATTGTGACCTGCTATTAGATCCATAACTGCCCCGCAGTCCGTAGCAGGTCGGTTGTGTTTTTTTCGCTGCCATTGCATAATAATCTTGTCGGTTTGAATGCCGTGACTTCCATTTTACCCTGAACGGACTTCCAGCTCTCTCAGAAATTTCTAGTTTGGTCGCCAAAGCGATGAGACTACAAGCAATCTCATCAATTATTTCGTTCACCACAATGCTCTTGTAAGTTAAAACCCCGTAGACATGCAGTCAACCACCACCACCACAACGGCCTCCCGGCTTCTAGGCACGACTTCTGACGCAATGCGAACTGAGGTTACCGCTTTGATTGCTGCCTGGATTTCGATGCATAGGATAATTTCATGCAGTTTCTTGCGATGTTATCTCAGCTCAGCGGCTTTTTTTACCATGTAGAACTCAACTTGAAAGCCTGTAATATTTCCGAGCTTGAAGTGCCTCCAACTCAAAGCAAACTCGGGGCTAACTCTATTCACATGTATACATAAATATGGCCCTTTGTAACCGCTGAAGCTATTGGCCGAGCTTCCATATCATTTGCTCTCTTTTAATGTGGCTTGAGAGACTTCCATTCCTAACTAAAGTTCGGTCATCTGTCGTCCACTTTATCCACTCTTCCATTGCTTTTTGGGATATACCGAAGATTACAGCAGAATATTTACTTAACGTCACTAAACTTTATGCGGATTTCGAGCAATGCGTTCTACTCAAATGTCGATTGGTGGTAGTACTTAAAATATCGGTACGTTATAGACTACTCCTGGATAGAGCAAGGCAAGGGAGAGAATCGTCTGATAGTGAACGAGAGCAAATAGCCAGCGCAGTCGAGCCGTGAGTATGACAAAACTGTTTCCACATCTTAACTATGAAGTTGTAGACAAATAAACTACCATCAACCCCAATGAGTACGCGAGCCCTATAGTCTAACACAGAATTACACTCGTGAGCAGAAACTACATTGAATTGACTCTGATGAAACACCATCCTGACCTGACAACGAAGCTGCCATTTCATCTCATTGTGAAATATGTGAATTAAGCCTGAAGGGTCTTTGTTTACTTAGCGCGTGGATGACTCAGTCGGGCAAAATTGCGGTGTTCAACAAGCCTCAGCGCTGTATGTTCAAAGAACGAAATTTTACTGCTCGGAGAACTCTGGTCTGGTGAAAGTCACAGATACTCTTTCCGGAAATCCACGATTATAGGTATGCAATAGCAGCAGAAACTTTTTGAGTTTTCTCAGCCCGAACTATAAAATAGGGAAGTCCGGCGTTTTTCTGAATCGCGTTTAACGTTCAAAGCTTTTTATGTTTTTTTTTTAAAAGCACATCGAGCACATCGAACTACTACTCACCCCTCTGGATGCGGTTCATAACGATCTATAAACGTTTGATTAGCATCACGATACTCCCGAAACCAGTTCAATATAAACGATTTCACACGTTTCGCATGCGACTTGAACTCGCGACCGATCCAAAAGTAACCAATATTCTGACCACTAAACTGATAATGCGGCGTATTACGACACTGATCGTGGCCGAATTGACAGCGTTTCACATGTAACGTGGCGAGATATTCAAGTTCATCATCCCACTTGAGCACGGGCATGTGAGCTGCGGCGCGATAGCCCTCCAGCTGACCCGAAGCGATACGTGCACGCGCCAAATTATGCATATCCAAGATAAATTGTCGGCGTCGTTGGCTCATATATAGTAAATGCGGTTTAGCGCCACAGGCGGCACCAAATGCGCCGTCATTGTCACAACCGATATGCGGTACTTGCAACACGTGACTACCGTTGTAGAGTTCACATAGTGAGAGGCTGCAATAGATATTCGTCGAGTTGTTGTCAGATATTGGAGAGGTTAGATTGTTTTTGGCAGTATTGTTGTTGTTGTTATTATTATTGTTGTTAGTGCGTGTGATAGCACTGCTGGCGCTTAGTATATTATTTTTGCTGCTTGCGGCGGCAGCAGCGGCAGTGTTGAATTGTGTTGGCGCCTCGGTTGTGCGCTCCTTGTGCACTTCTACACTTGGCATCGTGGTCGCCGTTATGGGTACGGTGCGTGTTGTTTTTAACGCGCTCGCCGTCGCTCTTGGCACATCCACGCCAGACACCAGCATAACCACTCTCGATTGCTGTGCTGTTAACAACACTAAGAGGGCGCCAAATAAAAGCTGACTAAACATTTTCGCAAAGAAAAAAAAAAGAAGGAAACAAAAATTGAAAAGAAAAAAGTGATTTCAGCTATTCTTTAAACGCCAAGCTATCGTGTTGTAAGTGCCGTACCGTTCTAAGCCGTAAATAAAACGCGACTGAATGGCTTTCATTGATTTCCCAGCATATTTACTATAAAATTTGTTCTCAAACAGCTGACGACAGTTCCAAGTGGCTGAGTGGTCAGCAGCGTTTGTGGTGTTTGATTAAAAGGCAAGAGATGCTGCTAATACTTTGAGTCGTCTGTTTTTTTTTTGTTGCTGTTATTGTTTTTTGTTGTTGTTCAATTGGCTAAGGTCCGATCGACGTTATTCATCAGGCAAGCCATTCGCAAGCGGCTTTGTTGGGCGGCGCTATTAATGCTGATGCTGATGTTGTCTGGCTCATTAAAGTTATTTTGCTTGCAATTAAAGCGCGCTAAGTATATGCTTATATAATACATACACACATACATCATACATATGCTATGTATAATACATAAATGCTATAATTAATAAACAAATTCTTCTATTGTTGAAGCTGATTGCTTAGGTTGAAAAAAATCGATATCTTGGCTGGAGATCAAATAATAAAATTAAAAAATAAATAAAAAATAAATATATCTTAGCCGGTTGTTAAATTATTTGCTGGCGCAATATACTCAAATTACTTTGTTAATATTTGAAGAATGCATTTGAATAATTAAGATTTATTGCTGAGAGCAAAAAAAAAAAATCTCAAACGTTCTTCATCAGCGATCGATCGATTAAATTGCCTATTTTGTTTTCACACCTGAAGCATTGAAAAGGAAGTAGCAGAACAATTACAAATAGAAATAAAAAAATAAAAAAATAGTAGAATTAAATACAGTTATAAAAAAATAATAAATAACAAAAATCAAAATAAAAATAAAAATAAAGAAATATTAAAAAGTTATGAAAAATTAATATAATAAATAAAAAAAATAAAAATATTAAAGCATTAAAAATTAAGTTATAAAAAAACTAATAAAAAATAAGAACAAAAAAAAAATAATAAAAAAAAAAAAAATAAAAATATAAAAATAGTAGTATTCAAAATAAAGTTATAAAAAAAATAATAAAAAAAAAATTAAAATAAAAATAATAGGAAATAAAAATCAAAATTTAAATAAAAATAAAAATAAAATAATTAAAAAATTAATATAAAAAAATAAAAATAAATAAAAAATATTAAAATTAAAAATAAAGTTATAAAAAAATAAAAAATAAACATCAAAATTAAAAAAAAGTAAAAATAAAAATAATAGGATTAAAAACAAACTTATAAAAAAATAATAAAAAATAAAAATTAAAATAAAAATAATAAAAAAAGTATGGAATTGAAAATAAAGTTATAAAAAAACTAATAAAAAATAAAAATTAAAATAATAAAAAAAACCAAAATAAAAATAAAAATAAGAAAAATTTAAAAAAATTCTAGTATTTAAATATAGTTATAAAAAATAATTCAAAAATAAAAATCAAAATTAAAATAAAAATAATAGAAAATTAAAATCGAAATTTAAATTAAAATAAAAATAAAAAAATTAAATAATTCAAATAAAAAATAAAAAAAAATTAAAAATAAATAAAAAAAAGTAGAATTAAAAATAATGTTTTAAAAAAAATAAAAATCAAAATAATAAAAAAAAAAAATTTAAAAAATAGTAGTATTTAAAATAAAGTTATAAAACATACTAAAAAAAATCAAAATTGAAATAAAAATAATAGAAATTTAAAATCAAAATTTAGATTAAAATAAAAATAAAAAAATTAAAATAAAAAATTAAAAAAAAATTAAAAAATAGTAGAATTAAAAATAAGGTTTTAAAAAAATAAAAAAAATTAGCATCAAAATTAAAATGAAAATAAAAAATAATATAAAAAGTAATAAAAAATAATAATAGCAAAATAATTAAAAATAAAATTATGACAAAAAACTCGAAAATAATGTGTAATATTCATAATTAAGGAAATCGTTGATGGTGTTAAAGTCATTATATTCTTCTTACACGATTCCAGCCGTTTCAACAATAGCGCACCATTCATCGCTTCTCTTCACTGTTTGTCGCCAGTTGGTAATATCAAGTAAAATCAGGTCGCGCCCCACCTGATCCCTCAAACGAAGGTCTTTCCTTCCTCTACTTCCACCAGCGGCCACTACTCTTAATACGGAACTGTAGCAAGTCAGCAATAGAACCGCCGAAGGGAAGGAATCGCCTAGATGCGCTTAGCTTTGGCCAACAGGAGAGGAAGTGTATTTCAACAGGGTAACGTCAGATACCACTCATCGATAATAACTCGTTAGAAGAGCTCATAGCTTGGTTGGGAAGTTCTTAGGCATCCACTTTATAGTGCGGATCTCACACCTTGTGTTTCTGTCTATGACGAATGATTTGGTTGGTGGTGAAATAGCCCCAATTACCTTCAAAGTAGGTCTTTTCGTCGATTGATTTCACACTCTCAATTTGTTCATATGACTTATGTACGCGTCAAATTCTAGCCAAGAGGATCAGTTTTCGATCAGTTTTTTTGCAGCAATTGGGTCCTATGACAGCAATAACGCGCTGAATATTCTTTTCCAAGACATCAATCGTTTCGGGTTTATCTGACCTCAGAATACACCAAACAGTGACCTTACGGCGATGTAATGATGTCTCAACCATGGCTTGTCGCTTATCATCATTCCAAATGCGATGTTTTAAAAAATGTTCAACCAAAGCTGGGCTTCATCGCAGAACATAATTTTCTTGCGTAAATCGAGTTCATCGTCATTTCATTATGGATCCAGTCAACGAATTGATAGACGTTCGGGTTCAATCCTTGCACGAGTTGAACTTTATAACCCAGAAAATCAAGATCCTTCCGCTAAATCTACTGTAAAGTGGATCAGCACAGCTCTAATTGTTGAGCGTAATAACTGTTGTACTCATTCGGGTCTTCTTCGATACTTTGCTCGACAACAGCAATAGCGTATTCAGCATACAGACAAAAAAAACTTCTTGGGCATCAATCCATGCATGGAGACCGTTTGTGACGGTTTACTGGGCTTCGACCATGACTGTTTTCGATTGATGTTTTTGTTTGGGACGCACTTTCTTCGTTCATCAGTCATCATCTGCTTCAGAATTAGATCGATTATGTTACGATTCAGCAGTGATTCGCAGATGGAAATTCGGTTTTTGAGGTTTTTTCTCGTTACTACAAGTTGAATGAGGAGCTCGGCCGAAAATCGCCTCAGCCATAGCACTGTACGGCTTTTTTGAGAATATATAATATACAATAGAGAAGAATTGGCTTAAGATCGGTCAATAGTTGTTCGAATTATAGACACCGCTGGCCGATTATGGAAGCAAGTGTGTCGCGTGAGGCTCGAGTAGTAAACGTTGCTTCGGAGAACTCTGGTTCATTATGAATTGGCGAACCAAACTGAATATAAACGCGGTAACAGCTGTCAAAGAGACCTGCTCCGAAAAAAGCATTGTCTCATTGAAAATTATACTTCTATAAGGACAATCTTTCTGAGGAAAACTTGAAAAACGGGTTCCGTGGACCACTTAGACCTGGCTGGGTTTTCATTATTGCAGGTGAAGAAACACATCGTTCGGAAGATTACAGGAAGTAGGTACTGTTCTTCGCTTGACGACTGCAATGACTGCCTGTCTTTACTATTGACACTCTAAACGAGTTAGGGATGCGAGGGACCATCAAACGGAATTTTGCTTTTATTGAGTCCTGCAAAAGATAAAACAAAATTATATATGTATTTGCTTATATTTGTTGCTTTATAATAGTTCAAGCGCATTTTTACTTTGCCTTTTTAGTTTTCTACAAACTTAGCGCTTTCTGAAGGGCTGAAGATATTTGGCGAAAAAAACTTTTATTTTCATGTCAGAATGAAACTCGAAGTGGATAACAGTCGCTAATGGAAAAAAAAGCACTTGAGCACATTTGAGCTACCACAGCCGCTATCTGTTGCCTTTTACAAAGCCTCCAATAATTATACTAAATCTTGTCAACACCAATTGAAAACCAGTTGGAGAATCTGCGTTCTAATTCGCATATTCACTTCAGTGACCTACTAAAGCGATTCCAGTTTGTCATGCTCTCTTCACTCACAGGTATGTATGTACATATATTGAGGTGTGAAAAAAAAAAATGTTTAAAATTGGTAGTGAAACTAGAACATAAATGGCTGGTTAAGCATAGATTATATATTATATGCCTTATGCTTTGGCGAAAATAAAGGAGGCTGGCGTTGGTGCTTAAATGAAAGCGCAACCACTATCACCAATCTAAAGAGATTTCACTTAAGAGCAGCAAAAGTCGTAGAAGTTGTTCTCTCAGCCGATTTGGGGTTTTAATTACACAAAAAAAAAAAAATTGTTCAAAGAAAGGTCAAAGTACTACTCAGCTGTAAGGTAGTGAAAGCTTAGTACTTATGTAAACTATTCTTGGTTTTTTATTGTCATTATATTAATGTAGGGTTATCCATTTCGTGGTATCATAAGCATAGCAATATTTTTTGGCAACTGTCAAACTTAACTGCCAAACCAAACATGTGTTGTTTTAGTTAAAAGTCTGGTATTTATGCAAATGTCTCGTTTAATAACCACACAACGCCTTCAGAAGTGTTAAAACCTACCACAAAAATGTTGATTCAAACGTGGTTACGCGATTTAAGAAGAGATTACGGTGTTCATAAGAGTGCCCCTACTGAAGCAATTGATAAAAAATATTAAAGAAAAATGAAGAGACTGCATCGGTAGTACAGATATTTTAAGGTCTGTACATCATCGTTCTGCTTGTTGCACCTCAGAGAGCGCTGCTGCAAGCGAATGTGTAGCAAGAAGAGCTGGAACTCTCTAACGGCACACTAGGGCGTACGAAGCCAGTTGACCAATCACAACGCAGTACAGGCAGACATCGATTGGATGCTTGAACAACAAGCATTGAACGGCGATTATATATTGATGAGTGCATAAGTTCATGCCCGATTTCAAGTGCAAACTAAAATTGAAATTTTTTGAAGAAAGCGCTTTTATTAATCAATTATGTATTCGCCATCATGTTCGGCAATCCCCTCTCAACGTTCAACCAATTTACGGATGCCTGA